CCTCTAGCCCTCATGGCATCGCTAGGTCTTTTTCTTTTGAGCTTTCGTTAGCCCGTTCAGGTGAAAGGTTCATCCGTGAATCCTGTTGTCGTTGTGGTTGATCACGTAAAATGATAAAATCAGGACTATAACAGTTTGCTCGTGAACATTCTCAGAAAATCAACATAATTACTACGTGGCTACTTCTTTTTCAACCCTCTATAGTGTACCTCATTGAAAAATAGTCAAAAATAATATTACGTTTTATATATTCGAGTCCATGAGCATACACGAAATTTACATCAAACCATTAATACCAAACAGATGCGAGAATGACGCGACGTCAGAAATAGTAATGTTGAACGACTGTCCATTCAGTGTCTGATGCACAGTTGTATTTTTGATTCTCAGCTTTATTCCAATTAGGCCCAACGGAGCTTTTTCTCTGCTTTTAAAACTCCATTTACTCTTCCGAGCCGTTGAGTATAAAGTTCCGAGTCAATATCCCCGTCAAGGACGAAGTGCAAAACAACACAACACACCCTTTTTTGGTCAAACCACATTGACCCCCGACCAACTACTAACAGGTCGATTGGATATTTCAAATATTCAACTTTTTATCGCTCGCAATGTTACTTTTTAACAAAAGTTCACCTTTTTCCCCTTGAGTTTATTACAATCCTATTGCAATCTTGGTCAGAGTATTGCGGACAACAAGTTACAAAATTGATTGTATTTTCTAAAGTTTTAAGATGATATGTTATGATGAAATATCACACGGGGAATAGTCCATAAATTTCCCTGTTGCTTTCGTATTTTAGTCTTTTTATTCATTAATGTCTCAAAAAACAGTAAAATTTAATTTACGAAATAATCTTCAGTATAATTATTATCATCCTTTATTATTATAATTTTATATTAAAAAGCAGGTATCCTAGGTCCAATACAGACATGTAGTAACTTCCTTGACTAAAATTTTTTTCTTGTCCCACTCCTTTTTGGTAGTTTGTCTGAAAATTTTCTTACCGAAATGCAAATCTCTGTATTCTGAGTTTTCTTTGCTGTGTTATTTGTTTGAATTTATGGGGGAGATAAGTCCTGATATTTTCTTTTTACATGCTGTGGGACATTTTACTTAATAATGAATATACACTAGGCTGCTTCTTCGATATCCAAGGGAAACAGTAACAGTTTGCTAATGCTGATACTTCTTGCATTATATCAGCATTTGATAATTACAATGTACAATCACCCTACTAGATGGGTGAAGACCTACTTGGAAGGAAGGATGGCCAATATTTGCTTAGGTGGTAGCACTCTTAAAATTAATGTCAAAGGAGGCTGTCCACAGGGAGGCTGTTTGTCACCTCTTTTATAGTTAATTACACTAAACAGCTTAATAGAACTTCTGAACAAAAACAGAAACCTGAAGGTTTCTACAGTCAATTATTTTCAGATGATGGTACCATAATGCTCACAGGTAGGGATCCCCTGACTCTTTAACTGATGGAAAACGCCGTGGAATTGCTTTATGAATGGGGTTGTGATAAAGGTTTATCAATTAATCCAGCTAAACTGGAATTGATAATGGTTAGTAGTCGACGAACATTAGGTAATTTTAAAAACCCTAAATTTCAGGGCATAGAATTAAAATTAGTGGATTCAATCAAATTCCTTGGTGTGACGCTTGACAAGAAACTTGATTGGAAAGATCATATTAATAACATATACAGGAAAGGCACAATATCAATGGTACAATGTAGGAGAATTGTCGGTAAAACATGGGGTATCAATGGCTATATACTACAATTATTTTACCTAGATTATTTTTCGCAGTTTTAGTATAGTGGAAAGGTCTAGAAAATAAAGGATCAGTAACAGATTAAGGTCATTTCAAAGAATAGGTTGTTTGATGATGACAGGAACATTTTCAACTACACCCACCCTAGTACTGGAAATCATAACCAATACTACACCTCTACACATTAAGGTAAAGGTCAGAGCACTAATCAGCTGCACAGATTAATTAGCGAAGGCAGCTGGAATCATAAGTGCAATAACATAGGTCACTCGAAAATCTCACAACTATTGAGTAACGTTAACGGCCAATTATTAAGCGTTAGTGATAAAACGTTTAAAACCCTTTCGGGAAAAGTAATTTCGGGTAGTCACCCCTTGTGAATATAATTATAGTTTCGATGATGACCATCGCAACATAGACTGCTACACAGATGGTTCACTTGTCAAAGGTAGAAGGAGTGGTGCAGGAATCACCTAAATTAGGAATCAGCATCTCCTCTCCTCTTGGCAATAACACCTCCGTTTTTCAGGCGGAAATCTGGGCGTGTGTTGTAGAACACTTATGGAAAATAAAATTAAGAGAAAAGATATTAGAATTTTTGCTGACAGTCAGCTAGTCTTAGCTCATTACAAAAAGATTTGTCAACCTCAAGACTGGTGGAGGAAACCGTAGATTTTATTTATAGGATCTCTTCCAGGTTTGAGAACAAGGTAACCCGTATTTGGATACTAGCACATAAAAGACACCATGTCAATGAAAAGGCGGATAGCCTGGCTAAAGAAATTTCTAATACTGCGTTTGTCGGGCCACAACCGGGATTACCTCACTCTATGAGCACAGCGAAAGAGAGTATTAATAATTGGGGCATGAAACAATTCCTTAAGGAGTGGAATTTATCCCTGGACACAGACAATCGAAAGAGTTTGTGATCAAACTAGCAGAATCGAAATAGCTTTTCTCTATCTCAAGGAAGGGAATTAGGAGGCTGATAGGTATCCTGACGGGCAACTGCCCACTGAGAAGACACCTCTCCGTAATGGGTATTCTACCAGATCCCTTTTGCTGTTTTTGCGAAATAAAAGAAGAAACGCCAAGGCACAACCTCACAGGGTGTAATAGGCATGCTAGGTCTACATTTGAAATCTTTGAAGTAGCAGACATCACCAAATCACTCCTCGAGATAAAATGGTCCAAAATCTTGGGGTTTATGAACAAGTCCAAGAGATTTATGCAGGACACGTGAGCCGACCAAGTCCCGGAACTTTTAGGTCTACCCAGGCATTTAACCCCTCAGGTCATGGTCGCATATATATATGGGACATGTTCCCATCGCCCAGTGACCTTGCGTCCTAGACCCGAATTCAACGCCGTTCAATGGCCAACTGAGAATAATAAAATAAGTAATAATAAACCTACGAACTAGGGGGGTTCGAGGGGGCTTGGTACGCAAAGTTAGGCACCACGCTTGTCTCTTCAGTCGTCACGGTTTAGTCTACCCTCGACGCCGCACTTTTAATGCTATGCTGATTTCTCGAATTATTATAACTCGATCCCGGAATTATATACAATAAAAATTCTCAAATATGTCACATATTTGCTCTAATAAAACCTCAAATATGCAGTATTACATGCCCTAAATACCCATAAATATGCCATATAATTCGTACTAAAAAATAACAGAAGCAGCATAAATTTCAGAGAAATTTTCTTTGTCTATGTGCTGTACATACTCAGTTTGAAAGGAAATAGTACAGAAAAATCTGTCACAAAAAAATCATTAGTTTACAATAAACAAAATAAATAATTAAACGTAATTAAGTTCATAACCTGAAATACGTTTCGAAGACAGTTTCTGTAAAACTACAACGTTTATTGGACAAAAAATATTTGTACCTCGAAAAAGATTTTTAACGTCGACAAAGGCAATAAGAGGAACTTAAAATACATAACTGGATCGTTGAGTATCTGTATAACAACTTTACTGTTTACATTTAAGATATCAACAATTTTCCCCAATTTGATCAAGCCTGCATTTTTGTCAAGGATGTTTTTAATTTTTCTTGTAATAAAATACCTGCATCACTGGGGATAATTTTTAATTTCTGTTTTGCAGTGAAATTCATAATCCAGCATGCTATTTTACAAAAAGTTGTTCTAAGTAAGAAGTAAGTTAAGTTTACAGGAAGTTAAGACCCAGCACAAACAAATAGGTCCTTGACAGATTTTTTCTCTTGCCCCTCTCCTTTTTGGTACTTAAGTTTGGATGGAAGTTTTCTTAGCGACATGTGTGTATCTGTATTTTTGTGAGTTCTCTTTGTTTCGTTATTTACTTGAGTTTATAAAAGAAGATAAAATATAATATTTTCTTTCTTTATAGATTTTCCTAATATTTTCACTATACCAATTATGGGGCATGTTTTCTTTGCTTCAGTGATACAAATACTACCAGCCTCTGTACTTTTGGTTGTTTTTGTATTTGTTTGACTTTATGTCAAAAGACGAAACCTAATATTTTATCTATACCAGCTGTGGGACATGTTCTCATCGCTCCAGTAATACAAAGTACGTGACGATCGGTTTCAACATAATTTTGAACATCCAGGATGGATCATCTGATTTTCCAATAAAAAATGATTGGGGTAAACAATTCAATAAAGGATTGTCCAATATAAACAAATTGTTGAATTACGATTAATAAATTTTTAACGTTTTAACAAATATGTTAACGTTTCCAAATAAATATGTTAAACGACATAGAATAAATACAAGTAAGCATTTGGGTTAATGTATTAACAGTACAAATATTTATGTTTATTTGATTTTTACAAAAGCGGTTTTCCCAGCCTCTCTTCTTTCTCTAAGTGCCTCATTTTACTTGTTCATATTTTAATTGAAGTTACTTATACTTACTTAGTAAATAAATACACAAAGTGAATAAAACAAATGTTTACTATTTAAAAGAACTTCTGAAAGCGACATTATCAAAGAAACCGTGATCATTTCTAAATGTAAATACTAATGGGTTGCATACAAACATTCTGGGCTAAGTTGAAAAAAACAAAATATGTTAATAATTGGTTTTTGACATAAACATTAAAAATTGAAAACCTGAGATGACTTATTTTTATGATAACAGTTTTTGTTCAAATGTTTTAAAGTTTTTTTTTAAATTCTGATTGTTCTTTAATGTATAAAATTGTAAACATTTGTATTGTTTCAGTGCCGATGTGGGTTGAGGATGGGTCGATGTTTGGGCTGCCTCCTGGTTCTCTTTGCCGTACTAAGGATCGCACAGACCCAATCATCATTAAATATTACAAAGGTAAATGTTTACGTACAATGCACCGTGATATTATGCTGTTCTCATGGGCTAACTATCGTCAAAGTTTCTGTAAACTATGCTTGGAACTGTAATTTCGCACTCCAAACCTCACATGCTCACACCAGCGTTCTGTATATTCCTCGGGCGGGATGAAACAGCCCCTTCCATTCACGCTAATAAATTGCATTTTAATCGTTTGAAAAGCCCTGTAGGATGAAGTACCAAAACAGCGTGCCCAATGTATTTTGTGCTGTAAAGTTTTAATGTACATAATTTAAATCAGAATTAAACAGGTAATACATGTTAGATTATGAGGACCTTTTCCGTTAATATGCCTCCGCCCCACTCGAAAGCGCTCGGTGACACGGATCGAGACAAAGGTCAGGTCTCTTGCTTCCGCTCTTATCTTATGTATTTTGAGTCAAGGTGTATGGTTGCATACCATTGTACTGTAATTGTATGTATTGGTGTATTGTGTTGTACACCAGTTGCCAAAGAGTTCGGTGTTAAATAAACAAAATTAAATATGAACTTTCTGGCATACGACGCTGTCAAAACCAAGGAATCTGCAGTTCGTTTCCTTCAGGAAAAGGGCCTTCTTCTACTAGCTGTGCGATGTGTGACGTGTCAGGAGGACACGAAGGGAGGTTGCATTTGACAGGATCGCGTGACAAGTGGAGGTGCTACAAACGTGGGTGCAAGGCGGAAATGGGTTAAGAAGTAGCACATATCTAACTGGTTCAAGATTGCCATTTTCGACCATCGTGCTGTTAATACGTTCGTAGATTGGAGCAACTACATGCACGAAGTCTGTTCGATCTCTATTTTGCGCAGGCATTCGAGTATTAGTGGCCCCAATTGCACTGTGGAAATTGACGAATCGCTGTTTTCGCCCCGGAAAACCAACACCGGGAGAATGTTACCATAGCAGTGGTTTTTGGTGGCATTTGCCGCGAAACGATAGAAAGTTTTCTAGTCGCCTTTACGGACGGATCGCTGCTGGGTCTGTCATCATCTCCGGTCAGTGGAAGGCATATGAAACATTGTCCCAGAATCCTGGTTTCCGCCATACGAACCACTCTCTCAATTTTGTCGACCCGACCACCTGTGCACATAAGCACTCTATACATTGAGAGTGTATGGGGAAAAGCAAAGGCGAGGAACAAATGGCAGTGGGGTACTCGCCGAACTTTATTGGACTCCTATCTATGCGAATTTATGTGGCGGCAGTCATGTACGGCAAGAAATGTTGATGTTTTCGAAGGCATCCTTAGTGAAATAGCTGAATTTTGGCCCTCAGGGATTCAAATGTGAATTCCTTTATTACCAATTTATACTCTTAATTTATATTGCACGAATTACCTAAAATAAAATGTTTCAGTATTTATGATTTCCTTTAAAGGAGCATTTCCTTAAGTGACCGTAGAGAGATCTTAGCGGTCGAGAGGGGCGGAGGCACATTAACGGAAAAGTTCCGATTATAAAAAGGATTTAAATCGCCTTCCGTCAAGAATTACCAAACATAATTATCGCGTTGCAAGTAGCTTACAGTAAACTCTCGAAGGGTTTTACAATCACCTAGAACAGGATGGTATTGGCAAATAGATATTGTTCGATAGATTGTCTAAATTTCGTCAATTCTGGCAAAGCATAAAGGGAAGAGGCTGCGGTGTATATCTTGGTAATTGAGTCGTGCGTTGTCATGGAAGCAGGAAGCCATGATTAGACAATCAGTCGTCACAATCAAACTGTTGGTCATTTTGTTTCCTTTGACTTTCCCTCCGGACTCGAACAACCTGAATTACTCAACCGCGAGACGTTAAAAAGGAAAGCGGCGATAAACTTTTCGCCATTATTCCCACCCTTGTTGCCCGATTGGTCGAAATTTGATGAAACGATGTTTTATTAACTTGAGACTTAACTGTTTCCTCTTTAAAACCTATGTAGCCAAACAGAAAGATAATTGTAAATATAAAAATTTGAAAAACAAATTTAATTGGAATTCCTTGTAGGTAATTTACAAGGGGGTGTTACATAGTCCCCCAGGGGCAGCATCGAACAACATTGTATGGATTCCGTATTCCTGATACCTATTTCTATCCAGGAATACAACCATTGATCGAGCCAGAGAAGGTAGCCATTTGGCCCATGGCCAGGATACATTGCGACTAAAAGGTTTTTGATAATTTTGCAATCCTTTTTCTTCAGGCTTTAAAACTTTTGGTTTTGAAAGTAAATGTAATACTAAAAGTTCAATCAAATACCCTCAACGACAATAACATACATATCTTATTGTAAATCAAATTAAACTACATAAGAAATTCATGAGTTTTAATTAAAATTATTTAATTATGATGGTTTGAAAGAGACCTCACTAAAACACCAGAAATCGTTTAGTGATAGATTAAAATTTAACTAACAATTTATTCCTCATTAGAAATTTTTATTTCCATTCATTAAACAAAATTTTACTTGTTTTGTAATATTAAATCTTTATCTTTTGTATGAATTTGAATATACACAATACATAATAGATAGTCCGTGATACAACATAAACAAAGGATATTAAAAAACAAAAATTATAATTACATTTTTTACCGTTGTACATTTTTGGTATTGAGTGTAAACAATTATCTAATCCTTGTACTTTTTTTTTAATTAAATTTAATTAATTAATTTTTTAATTAAATAATTCGCACTTTGTAACGAACCACACCTGTATGATTCATTACAGGAATGTTGTTTCATAAAAAGCATGAATCACTATTGATCCTATAGTACTGTTTCCGTTTTAATATAATGTATGCGTATGGTTTACATTGTATATTACATTTTTTTATTGATTATTACAATATTGTTAGGTTGAAAGGCAAAAGCATCTGTATAATTAGAGAAATTTGAATTTTCGAATCTCATAATCTACTTGGTTTTTGCTTGAACAAATAAAATGGGCCATTGCGTAAATAACCTGCACAAACTACATTTGTAGTCAAGATTAACTGATTTATTATGTTATTCATATGTCTATGTTTCCTATTTGACTTCCTATGATTATATTTGAGGTATATTTTATGCCTAATAACCTGACCTTAAAATTTTGTTGTATTCTTCTTGTTTTTTATTTATTATTATGTTAAGATTTATGTATGAATACAAAATATACCTAAAACAAGCCTAAAATGGTTGAAAAACTAACGAGGTAATTTTTTTTATAATATTGTCATTGCCTTTTTCTATCGTGTCTGACATTGAATTAATCCGTATTAACCGGTGGGTGCCGCCTCCGCTCTCCTATCATTATAGTTGGTCAGAACTTCATTATGAAAAGGCGCTTTTCTCACAAAAGAATGAAGGGTCGAAAGCAATCCGTGACTCGTTAGAACTCCATTAGACCCTCGACGAGGCGTCAGCCCTAAATTCATCCCCACCCCTTACCATCAATTCAATTGGGCCCTAAATTAGAGATTTTTGAAGAATATGTATAGGAAAATGAACTCATGTGTAAATAATATGAAGACTTTTTAGATTGAAAAAAGTGTATAGCCATAATTCAGAAAAGTGAATCAATAAAAAAAATTGAAATAATTTGAAATACATTACAACCACCTTCAAGTAGGTAACAATAACAATGAACCAGGTATTATGTACATAATTAAAACAAAAAGTATAGAAAATACCCAAGTAGTATTACTCCAATGTTACTAAAATATTGTCTTTTTAATTGATTCTTGTTTCATTATCACTTTCAGTATCATCACCATCTCTTCCTAGAGATCTCGCGGCCATTGTCTCTTCAGATGCGAGGTTTCTGATGTGCTGATTTACAGTAGTGGGGAGGTTTTTATGAAATTTACAGTAACGGGACCGGATATCATCTTGAACGAAAGGGATATGTAAGTCTGTATGTTTAGTTACGTTCGATACATAAAATGGAGCATCTGGTATCTTCGTAAGATTAAGGATTAGGCAGGAATACAGCGAATGTTGGAATGTTTGGCTGGAACCCACACTTCCAGTTCGTAAGTCCATACCGGCTTAACTATGGTGTTGTAACGCAGCGTTTTATTTTTGAGCGGTAAACAGAACGTTCGTCAAGAAGTCGTGCAAGAGCTCGGTATCGTGTCATAACCCCTGACGTTCAGTCGTGTGAGAGGATTCCACGTCAGGCGTTTGTCGATGTACCGCACCATGTCCGCAGTTGGAAGATTAACATTATTTAAGTAGAGGGAAGGGGGAGATCTTTTACGAAGAGTGGTAGAAGTAACGATGGTGGATTTGTCTGTGTTAAATTTTATTATTTTCTTTTTACGCCAATACTCTAATAGCGTGAGGGGTAGGAGGTTTCGAGTGAAAACGACGGGATCGGAATTACTATAGAGAATTCCTGTCTTCTGTAAACCCCACACTTCCAATCCGTAAGTCCATATTTAATGGTGTTGTAAAAAAGTAGCCTTTTATTTTTGAGAGGTAAATTAGAACGTTTGTCAAGAGCTCCATATCGTGTCATAACCTCCTGACGTTTCAGTCGTGTGTGAGGATTCCACGTCAGGCATTTGTCGATGTACAGTCCAAGGTACCGCGCCTTGTCCGCAGTTGGGAGGGGAATATTTTTTAAGAAAACGAGGGGGATCTTTTTACGGAGAGTGAAGGTAGTGTGGGTGGATTTGTCTGTGTTAAATGTTATGTTTTTCTTTTTACACCAAGTAACATGAGGTGTTGTTGGAGGTTTCGAGTGGAAATGACAAGGTCAGGGTTGCCAATGTGAATGTGGTGGTTTCGGGATGTGATGGCATGTCATTTGTGAATAGCTGGTGTAGTGTCGAGGCCAGAACGCTACCCTGAGGAACACCAGCATAAAAATAATAATAATATTTACACAGTAGTGCCGTATAACCGCCCGCTTCAGAATTTAATTTTTTTAAAAAGTGTTTCAACAAGACAAAACAAAAGTTATTTAAGGCTAAAAATCGTTTAAAAAAACGAGGTGGCGAGGTTTAAACTGAAGAGTTCTTCACTTTCCTATGCGTGTACGCGAAGTCCAAGTAATAATCCCCAATTTGTTGAATCAACTGATTACTGCTTAGCTCATACCGTTCAAAAAAATTCTTTGTGAGAGACTTAATGTAATGTACAACTTAATCCATGTCTATGTTAATGTAGAAGCCTAGAATGTGGGTGTAGCGGTCCGATGGGGTCCGTAAAAATTATTTTGCGTAACTTCCATCGTGATGCCAAACCCCATGTGGGACAAGCATTCAAGAGCATAGGTCTAAACACTAATTTATAGAGATGAATTTCGTTTACTGGGGACAGTTTAGAGTCTCTTAAGAATAAGGGAAACAATACACCAATTGCAGATTTGTCTTTATTCACTTTATCCCTTACATGGGCGGCGAAAGTTAGCTGTCAAGTATTACACAAGGTACTTACCAGACCAAGGTATTACCGACCCCCGAATAAAACATGATACAACACAGGCCTGCGCTTTGTAAAAAGGATAGCCTTCGTTTTTGTGAGATTTATGCTAACCCTTCATTTGTTACAGAACAATATATCACATGGCCTTTGTAAGTCTGCTGGATATTGTACCCACCCTCCAGCACAAAGTGTAGATGGCAATTCACCAGAAGACAAGGCCAGTCTGCAATCGTTAGGTCTTGGCATTGTATTGAAAAATATAAGAAAAAGAACAGGTCCTATTATAGATCCCTGTGGGACACCAGCAAATGCGTCATAACTTTGAGAAAGGGTTGAGTTAACAGAGATTCGAAATTTCATGTTATGTAAATATGAGTGAATGATTTTAAGGGGGTATGGGAGGAAACTGTAGTCTATCAGCCTGCTTATCTCACCAGCATGCCAAACCGTATCAAATGCCTTCTGATGTGCAACAAAACCAAGCCAGTGTGCTTTCCTTGGTTAAACGCCCCAGTTACGTCATCAACGACTTTAGCTAATTGGAGGTCCTGACCGGACTAGATAATCTGGTGGACATCCAAATGACGATTGTTCCTAGCTAATAATATTCTTTCTAATAATATTAGTTTACTTAGCGTGCTGAGCAGACTAATCGGGCTGTACCTGTTTGACTGAATAATTTGGCTGGCTTAAAAATAAGAAACACTTTAGAGTTTTTGTCAGAGAATGAGGAAGTAACCTAGTGTTGAGACATTTGTTGAACAGACTAGTTAGAAATACTACGGCTTTTCGTGATAATTTTTTTTAAAAAAATATTTTAGATATTGTCTAGTCCTGTTGATTTTTTTTTAATTGATAATTTCTGTAATTTCTGTCAGAGTAGTGAGGTAAAAGTCCAAACTGTGAAAATGGTAAGGAAAGTCTTACCTGTCGTTCTATTTTCTTTTGGTGTCAGGAGAAATCCACAGAATTATTTTGTCTGTGAACATGTTTCATGAAGTTTGCCATGAGATCATATCTGTCTTTATCAGAACAGATATGGGCATTATTGTATATTATCGGAGAATGAGTTGTATTATCAATGTTACTGCGTGATGTTTTAAAATTGTTTGCAATTTTCTAAATGAAGTATTTAGGATCTATATTAGAGTAGCAGAGTACAACTTTGTTGCCAAGCATAGACTTCTTTTTTAACTATGTACAAGCACAATCTATTATTATTCAATTTTAATAGCACACTCACAGCACAAACACTTCACCACTACAAATAAAGATCCTAGGAAAGGTTTCGTGAAAGTAGCACGAAATAAGTCAGTTAGAAATCATCTGAAATGGTCAATGAATCAACAATACAGAACACAGATGCGAACTATATGCCATTCAATGGCCAACTGAGAATAATAAATTAACGCGGTAGGGGGTCCGAGGGGTTCCAAGCTTGGTACGCAAAGATAGGCTCCACGCTTGTCTCTTCAGTCGTCACGGTTTAGTCTACCCTCGACGCCGCACTTTTAATGCTATGTTGATTTCTCGAATTATTATAACTCGATCCCGGAATTATATACAATAAAAATTCTCAAATATGTCACATATTTGCTCTAATAAAACCTCAAATATGCAGTATTACATGCCCTAAATACCCATAAATATGCCATATAATTCGTACTAAAAAATAACAGAAGCAGCATAAATTTCAGAGAAATTTTCTTTGTCTATGTGCTGTACATACTCAGTTTGAAAGGAAATAGTACAGAAAAATCTGTCACAAAAAAAATCATTAGTTTATAATAAACAAAATAAATAATTAACCGTAATTAAGTTCTAATTATATATTAGAAGAATCGAAGAATATACATTTCAAAGATAGTTTCTGTAAGTTATTGTACAAAAAATATTTGTACCTCGAAAAAGATTTTTAACATTGACAAAGGTGATAAGAACTTAAAATATATAACTGGTTCGTCGATTATCTGTATAACAACTTTACTGTTTACATTTAAGATATCAACAATTTTCCCCAATTTGATCAAGCCTGCATTTTTGTCAAGGATGTTTTTAATTTCTCTTGTAATAAAATACCTGCATCACTGGGGATAATTTTTAATTTCTGTTTTGCATTGAAATTCAAAATCCAGCATGCTATTTTACAAGAAGTTAAGTTCTAAGTAAGAAGTAAGTTAAGTTTACAGGAAGTTAACTTTTAGCTTTTTTTTACTAATAAGAAAGAGGGCTGTGACTGATTAATTTGGTGTTTAAAATTTTTCACAACTTGACTACTTCAGAAAAAGTAATTTTTAAGGAAAGGTAAAAAACTTCACCTAAAAATTTTGGAAGTAGGAGCCTTAAAAAAAGATTTACATTACTTCAAGAGAATTGCGCCAGATTGTTTACGTCTTTGTTCCTGGCAAGTTAACTAACTATAATAATTCTGAATCAAATTTGAGGCCCTCTTTTTCTGATGTTCTTAGTTATCTAATTTTTTTTCAATATTAAAAAATGTTTTAAATTTGCAATATCCTTTTAATATATAAATTTATGCAATATTGTTTAAATATGCGGAAGAAAATTTGAACCATTGTACCATAGTGGAACGATTTGGATAAATATCTGATCACCAGGGTCGTAAATCACAAAAAGAAAATGCAATTGCATACAAATCTGAGCTAAGTCATAATTTGTTGTAGAAAGTCTACATTTACAGTGTCAGGAAGAGAAAATTTCAAGAAATATAGCCATTTTGAATATCATGACCAACATGTTAACAAAACGGAGGGGGGGAATAAAAGAACTAACATAAACTGTTTTCAGAACCACCATCATCGGACTTGAATTAATATATAAATCGTTTAGTTTTAATAAGTAATTAATGAAAGTTGATGGTCCCTTACAAAACGCAAGTTAATGACTAAAAAAACCCAAATCCTGGGTAAAATCCAACCATACATGAAAATAACTGGTTTGTACAAATGGTAAATCTGATACAACTGGCAAACAACCATAGGTCAAACTTGTTAGTTCACCCTCCCAAAAATGATGGATGGTTTAATGGCTGGTTGTTTTTTTTTGGTTTTTTTTCCAGGATAATATCGAGGACGCTCTGAAGATCATTGAAGAAGTGGCAACCAATAACCTAGGCAATCTTTGCGTGACCGAAGGGTACAGAATACTGCCGGCACCAGTATTGACGGAAAGATACGAAGGGGCGAGGCAAAAGGCAGAACTCGCTGCTGCCCTTTTTGCAGAAATAGGCCTTGTACAAAGGCAACACGGACAACAGCATCCTCAATTGCATAGTGAGTTTTATCTATGAAGCTCAACAATTGTAACAACTTTTTTGTCTTATTTGTTTTGTTTTCCATAACATTTTTGTTACTTTATCAACTCTCGTTTAAAAAGAGATAAGATACAATCAACGGTGTTGATGATATTTGAATTACTCATAAAAACATTAGTTTATACATTTTTAATTATGTTGTACTTTTAAATAAATGGCAATCCGATTGTTTTCCATGTTGGGAATCAAAATAAATCAGCACCAAGATATGGCAATCTTTGATTCACTTTTTGAACAATGCAATACAGCCAAATGTGAACAATTCTTGACCAGATTGGCCAGCATATCCCCGTGGATCACAAAAGCTGCCTATGCTGCAGAAGTTAAAAGTGAATTATCACAATAATACGAAGAATGTGGAATTATTCTTTGAAATGGAAAAATATAAAAAGGATAAAATATTCTTTTAAGCAGAAGAAAAAACTTCAACCAACACCCGTTTTGAATTATGCATAAGCACTATATAAGCTATATAGCTCACAATGTAACACCAGTCTTGAAAATGCTCTTGTACTTCTTTTAACCATTGAAGAAAATCAAATATTAATAATTAATCTAGGTTTCTGTTTTTGTTTGATGTTTCTTTATGAGGTTTGGGTGAATTTTCTATTAAGCTTTTCCAACATTGTAAATTGGCAGCGAACTCCCATATCATTTTTAACATGTTATGTGGGGTTAGATTATGTTTGTATATAGGAAAAATCGATCAATATTGCATCAGTAAAATGTTTTTTAAGAGGGCATATAAAATAAGTTATTAGTCCCTAGAACTAACTCCAGAGAAACACGTAACAATAATAACCGAGATCATAGATAGAGAGAAAGCCGTAAAAATGATTATTAAAGAAAGTGGAAGTGTCAGGGGGCTAGATTGGCCGAGAAATTCTTGTGTATCGAAAGGACTGTCGATCATGTTAGTCCCTTCAAAAATTTCTCCTTAAGAGTTCCATAATAAAATCCAAAATCATATCACAGTGACCCTTAGTGTTCATCATTGATTTGAGATGGTTATGTTTTTGTTTTTTTAAAGAGAAATTTTTATCAGTACAATGGTTAATTTTGGAAATTCTTGTGTATCAAGAGGACTGTCGATCATGTTAGGCCCTTTAAAAACACTTATTTCTCTCCTTAAGAGTTCCATAATAAAATCCAAAATCTTATCATAGTGACTCTTAGTGTTCATCATTGATTTGAGATGTGTTATGTTTTTGTTTTTTTAAAGAGAAATTTTTATCAGTACAGTCAATGGTTAATTTTGTGAATTAGGTCTGGTTGACGGGGTAGCACACAGCCTTTTGGTCTCAGAAAAGTCCCTCCTGGCATCAAGGGTCGTCACACTAAACGCCTCCACTGATTTGGTGACCAGCTCGGCCGTGTGGAGGCGAGAGTCCGGCGGAATGGAGTGGCGGCAGCCTGCAGAAGTGGTTGTAGGTGTTGAGCTTCCCATGGAACTGCCTTGGATTCAGCCTTCCAATAGCGAAGCCGAATCCAACGGATATTGGACCACTCCTCACTACTCGTGCAAACCGAGGTCATGGATCATCAGTTACACAGTGCCCTTCCCGACCAATAAACATGGGTATTTATATCTCAAGTAGTCAATTTAAACATAAGATAAAATTATGACAAATGTATTTGTTCTGTTTTACTCAGGTCCAAAGGGTATTTAAGCATAGATGTAGACATATCTCATTTAGATGTCAATCAGTGTGATTCCAGTGAGGATGATGACAGCAACCAAATAGTTGCATTTAAAGGATCCCACAAGTGTCACAGCTCAACCAAAGTAAGCTTCTAAATCAATTTTTTATTCACAGTTTTAATGATAATTTATTGCATTTCAGTGCATATACCACAATGAAGAGCATAAGTGGTCTAAAGGAAACTATGTTTGCCACTGTCGTAAGGGTTATTATATGACAAATGAAGTCCCTTTCTTAGGAAACTTAGTTGAAGGTAATTTCTTTATGATTAAAATCAAGCGATTTACCCACATTGCACTTATGCACAAAAATCATTTGCATAATAATAGGGACACTGCTGGAATGCTATTTTATCTATCTTACTTTATGGTTTAAAGGTTATTCTTCTTTTATCTTAATTTATTCATGTAGTAAAGGGAGGAGGAAAATTTTTTTGCATACTCACTCAAATAAAAACAATACCATTTGGGACACACATTTTAAATATAATTTTGAATGTTTAATTAAATAATTTAATTAAGTTTGTCTCCTACCATACTTGTTTTCTGATTTTCACTGGTCTTGTCTGGCTGAAGTGTTTTGACATTTCACCATCTCTTTAGATCATCATCTAAAAAAAGTTGCTTAGCCATCATAGTGGTTAGCCAAAATGCATCTGACAGACAAAACAAGTGAAAATATGCAAACCAGAATGATCAGAGACAATTTTGGTGCAGGATTAACATTGCACAAACCTTACCAGAATGTTCCACAAAAATGTTAATGTTAAAGATTTGTCTTATAACTAAAACCTTTATCGAAAATAAAATCATTTCAATACAATAGATTTTACTAAGATTTAATGAAACATGTACCATAAATGAAATAAACACTATATATTTTAAACACCTAACTGAAGAAAAATTTAGTATGTATTTCACTATCTTAGAGCATCTCCACCTGTTTCATAAAAAATAATATATATATACACAATTCTCATAAATGGATTATAACAATTAAGCAATGTTTTAGCACTAAAACCATTTAGTGAGATACCTTGCATTATATTATCAATCCTTACCTACTTAGAATCCTCTAATTATTAAAATAGATAAAATTAATTAAATTTTAATAATTAAATTAATTATTAAAATAGATAAATTTTAAAACATTAAAATATTGTAGTGGAAAATAATTTAACATACTAACAAAGATAAATAAATAATATAACTATACATTGGCACTAAGCGGTGAAAATTACTTGAAATGCTAGATTAGAATGATAAAAAATCGCGACTGTTGCTTGATGGGTGGTGGTTTGCAGCTGCTTGGCTGGAGAGAAAGGCCAACCAAAGTACAACATATGATGAAATCTTCAAATGCAAGCGTTGCTCTGAAGGATGTGCCACATGCCGTGGCCCAGCTCCATGCCTCGCACAGTACAAATGGCCCTTCAGGTCTACTATTCAAGTCTCTTATGCTACTGATAATATATAAATCTCAAATATATCTGCATGCCCCTGTACAACATTTGCTGCATGTTGACGTAGAGAAGTTTTTTGTGGCACTTAGACGTTCACTATTTGCTCGAACTCTTTCCATTATGCAAGTTTGTTTTATTATATTTACAAACGGTAAATCTGACAAAATAAAGCATATGAATTTTCAACAGTAAGAGTAAAATTAAAAGCATGCTTCATGGTAAATTTTAACTTTTTAAACATAAAATATTAACCTGTTTAATTATGACCTGAAAATGGGCTATTTGTTATAAACATAAAAAAATAAGTATACAATCATTGTTTGTATATAAACCTGAGAGGACGTCAGAGGCTTTATTGTGTTTGCATGAGTACATTAAATGTGCGATTAAAATGTACTAATGCCATCACTTTTAGGATTGCGTTGATGTCAATATCAGCAACATGTGTATTATTTACTTTATGCCTCATCGTATACGTTTACCACCATAGGAGGTTAAAAATTTTTAAAGTCGCCAGTCCAATTTTTCTTTGCATTACTCTAATCGGTTGTGTTATTATGTACCTCGAGGTAAGAATTTATTTTATCTGAGAGCAACATCCAGTTATTTAAATACATATTATTTAGATGGCAGCAATATTTCCTGTTTTGGATATGTATTCATGTATCGCTACAAAATGGAGCAGACACCTTGGATTTTGCATAACATACACCGCCCTTCTGATGAAAACATGGAGGTAAAATAAAAGCTCTAACTCAGATGGGTTTACATTTCTGAATGTTTTTCTTGCAGAGTATCTCTTACATATCGAGTTAAGTCAGCTCACAAGGTCAAACTAACCGACAAGCAACTTCTACAATGGATGTTTCCAATACTCCTGGTGATGTTAATTTACCTTGGAACTTGGACACTAAGTGCGGCACCGATAGGCGAGGACATAAAAGACAACACTGGTCTCAGCTTCAAACAGTGCACTTACAACTGGTGGGATCACAGTATCGCCATAGGTCTGAATCAGTTTTCTTGTTCCATTATTTATAAGGGAAAAATGGATGAAAAATTTAAATATTTTAGGTGAAGTGCTGTTCCTCGGCTGGGGGATTAGGGTCTGCTACAGTGTCCGTAATGCTGAATCTCTATTTAATGAAGCTAGACTCATCAGTTATGCAATTTACAACATCGCTATTGTAAACTGTGCCATGGTAGCTTTCCAGTAAGTTAATAAGTTAACTTTCACAAATTTAAGGATGGAAAACTAACAAATAGCACCGTTTAGTTTATTCCTCTTCCCGAGAGCAGGACCTGATATAAAGTATCTTCTTGGCTTTATAAGAACACAACTCAGCACAACAGTGACTATCGCCCTTGTATTTGGACCAAAGGTATTATAGCATACAAGTTAAAAATCCATAAATGTAACTGTATTTTTCTAGGTTGTGAGGGTTTTGAAAGGTCAAGGAGATCAGTGGGATAAGCGAGCTAGAGCAAGAGCAGTTACAGCTTCTTTTTCTTTAAATGGAATAGGTTTAGTGACTGAAGAAACAACTGATCTATACCAAGAAAATGAAGAACTAAAAGTATGTATTGTTAAATAAATGAAATTATAATGATGGTCAATGATGTTGGTTTATTAAATTGACTCCAGCACTTTGATCTTTTATTTTATTTTGTCATTTCAGGCTATTTCATAACCTCGCCTTATTTATTTATATAGGCACAAATCTGCACATGTATGTAGAGTTGAGCCTATCACTTCTTGCAGACTACTAGCAATTCCAGCTTTTTGTTTTACAATACCAACAAGTGTCTAGAGTCTCCCACCCCCAATGTTGGCAGTCCAGGGTCAGACCTAGATTTTATCCATCCATCCACCAAGGGGGCTCCAGTGGCTATCAACAGTTAGATCATTTGAGCTCCCAACATAATCAGTCTCCATTCACATTGTTACTTACTATTAAATGCACTCTTCCCTATTTACATACCATTCTCTCAGTTAAGGTAAAGGAGTACTTAATTCTCTCCCCTTTACATCTATTGCATAACTAATTGAGGGTGGATGTGGTTCTCAATTTCCAGCCCCCTCTCACTTATTCATGCTAATAAATACATTCACTCTATACAAACTAGGGACATAAAACTAGCATTGCTGAATGTATTAAAACAACCGTGTTATTGCTTGTTCTCATATTGGGTGGCATTACTACACACTCTCTATATGGAGCTAAGGAATTACACCCTTCTATTAGGTGGGACATATCAAGCAACCTTTCCCAACATACTAAACACATACGTGGGCTTTGGCACAAAGTAAGTGTTCGTGTGTCAACCTGACCTTAATCAAGTGAAGATTACCCTTCTACTACAAGTCAGGTCCTCCGAGGATCACTTATTGACAATGTTCTTGATATACGAGACCTTCCCTGCCAATCGAGCCCACCGATGCTGCCACTTTCTTTTGATCATGTTTATAATGCATTATTAGCATCCGGGGGCTTGATAGCGATGGCTAAGTTTGAGAGGATGAGACGTCCCAATGTTAGCCCCTTTGTCTGCCTTTTCTTTACCCTTGGTGAGCAATATGATGAAATGTATTCAAAATAAGATTTTTTTTTAAGTGCTGCAATATCTTCAACAATAAACCAACACTACATTTTATGAGATTTCTGTTTGAGATCTGTAGGTTGATGAACTTGTAGTTCATCTCGAGTTTTAGAACATAGAAAGAAGTCAAAAAGAATATTTCACAATCAAAACTTAAATAAATAATATAAACACTATATGACAAATAAATATTTAATATAACATTCATTGTTGAGTGTTAAGAAGTGTGAATGCTTTGTTTAAATTTTTAGGAAGAAATTCAAAAATTAGCAGGCCAAATAGAGTTCATGAGAATCGTGTCGATGGAAATGAACAACAGGCATGTAAAGCCAAAGCCTGGAGGATATTTCTCAGTTGGAACAACTGTCCTGCTGCAGAGTCCGCGAACTCCAAGGGAACCTCAGTCCAAAGTCGACTCTGCCAGTCAACAGGATCACGTCTGACCAAAACAGGTCTGGCTATAGATCTTGTGTTGTTATAATTATTTAGTTTTTGTATGACATGCATGAATGCCAAGATCAGAGGCAAAACAATCTCTCATTTCATCTGGTTTGAAAAGGGGGTTACATTTCTGCATTACAACATTTCAAAATAATTTTAAAAAGACAATAAAAAAACCCAAAGTTTTTATTAACTTAAAAATTCTGCCTCGAAACAAGTGCATTTCAGATACAACACAAGTTAAGTTACTTAGCTGTACTTATATTTTTAAATACTTCCTAATCATTCTATCCAAAATAAAACAATTTATATTATTAATAAATACTTAAATTTGAAAGTTATCTATATTCACATCAGAATGTCAAAAGTCATGTTTCATCATTTTAGAGGTGTCACTGTCACCAGTCTATAGCTGATATTTTTAAGTTTTGTAAAATAAACTTTTAGATTTAAAAAAATATTTTTAAAATGTAAATCTCTAAAAATAAAAATAGACAATGACTGTGATTTATTTGACAAGACAATAATATTTTTGAAAAAAAGAAAAACAGCATTGAGATTTGTCCATAAAATATTTTTGTAACATCTTGAAATGCATTTCTAGGTTATACAATGCATTGTAGGTTATGCAAAAAAAATGCATTAGTAGTATTCCAACATGTATCACTAATTAAAATTAGAACAGCTTCTTGCACTTTGATCTTTGTAAATTTTAAAATATGAAATATATAAAATTAGCAAAGTATATAATAAATTAAATTACCAAAATTAAATTAATGTCTGATGTATTTATGTAAACACTCAAAACCTAGGAATGTAAAGCTAATCATTTTCAAAAAAATAAATAATTAAAATTTACTCTATGATATTTTACAATATTGCTCATATAGTTTATTATCATATTAAGATTGATTTGACACCTCTAATGACTAGACATCCTGATGCAATATTAAAATGTAAAAGAAGTAGAAATGTTGTTAACCAAAGTGAACAAGTAAGTTTTCTTTTTTTTTTAAATAAATGTTGTAATATTAATTATCACTAAATGCGCCAAAGTAACATATTTTTGTTTGTTGAAGGATCTCCTCACAAAAGTATTTGGTGCAACACCGTTCAATTTAAAAAAAAAGTTTTTTTGGATAATAAATCATACAGTTGTTCGCTGTCGATTTCCAGAGAACAATGTGTTATATTGCCCATGCCCTTTTAATAAATCATATTAAATTGGATGTAGTTTGGTCGTCACTCTCCCTTCTACTCTATTCTGAAAATGTAAATGTAAATGTCAATTCGCTAATACTGGATTCAATGATTTATGTGGACAAAACATAATTGTTTAAATTTTTTTTCTTTAGATTTTACTGGCCCAATCTGAAATTACAAAATTAGCTATCAACTGGTTTAACATAGAATTAAAGTTCTTTTACATATCAAAAGGTTAATTTTTGAATAAAACCAAAGGAAAAGTCAAAATAAAATGGATTGTTAAGTCTACTGTGGCATTGCCTCCCATAGCTCTCCCAAAAATGTGAGTTTCAAAGAGAAATTGCATGGCAACAAAATATGTAAGAATTTAATACAATGTATTTGTTCTTTACAAAAATTACTTATAGGGATTAGTGTAAATAAAACGTTGTTGTTAAATGTTAAAAGAAAATGAATTTTTTTGCATTTAGTAATTTATATTATAAAATGGAAATGGTCAACATGTAAATGGTTGTGAACATTTTTTGGACATTTATGGTTGTGTATGTAAAATAAATTTTAAATGTTATTGTACATAAAAACAAGTGTATAAATGTTATGTATTTTTGTATATTTGATTTTGTTATTACATTCCAACTGGAGGCTTTTTCAGTCTTTCAACATTTGTATTTATTTTTACAGAAAATTTTCATATTGGATAAAAAGACCTTCCTATCCTTTCAAAAAAAATGCATTAGTAGTATTCCAACATGTATCACTAATTAAAATTAGAACAGCTTCTTGCACTTATAAAACTCACAGTTATATGAATGGTAGGTAAAAATAAATTGTCCAGCTTATTGTTAATAAACAAACTTTTATGCATTTATGAAACAGTTGTTAAAATATATAATTAAAGGTGAAAATTTTCTTATATTTATTTTCAACAATATTTTAGTACTTGTTACATAAATTGTTGAATTATATTTTATACAAATTATGTACTCTTTAATGGCTGTATATCATTTAATATGAACATGTTACATTATCAAAAAATATCATGGCATGACTTTTCTCCGACTTAATTGTATAATTGATCTAGAAAATTTGAAATAGTGATGCTTTATAGAAATCACTACTTTGTCAAGACAAACTTAGTTTTTCTTAATTGCCAAACAAATGCAGCATATAAAAATATAATACAGATCATTTTATGATATAGTTATTATTGAGAAAGAAAGAAAAACTTAAAAAGGTAAAAATTGTTATTTATTTTTGTTGTTTACTATTATGTGGTTTAAATTGTTGTCAAAATGTAAAACTAAAACAATTTTCAGAAAAGTGAAAAACCACTGGTGTTATAAAAATTAAAATATTTTCTATAAAATTTATACTTTTTAAAATATTTTTTTAAATCTAACCCTGTCCCAATAAGAACTAGTAGAAATACTGATAATAATTATTAATATTCTATTTTTATGTTTTTTATTTCCATTAAAACTTTTAATTTTATTATTTTACATATTTCAAAGCTTAATTATTGGTAAGATCTGTGGGATACTAAAAGTGTCTGACAAACAGACAGTGAGGAGAGGCAGACCAAAATGATCAATAATGACCAAAACTAATACTGGTTTGCTAACTATGATTTAAAATGTTGATAAACTTTGATTTCGATTTAATATATCAAATTATTTTTAATATCTACAATCCAATGTCCAATATTATTGTTAAACTGGCCCAGACCAAAATTATCTCAAAAGCCTAATTCTAAGTCTAAAATCAAAGCTGAATTATGCAACTTTCAGTTATATAGTTACTCCAAAACTCTATTACTTATAAGTCAAAAGAAATTTTAAATAAAAGAATTTACTGATGTTAGAATCTTTTTTAAATTGCAAGTATGATTAGTTTTCTGAATAGATCCATTTTAATCTCAAGTATGCCGTATGCATAAAGATATCTAGTTGTTCTAAGGATGACGATTTTTACTATATTATTGAACACAAGGTTTGCTTTAACATCGCCAACTTCAAATTTATCATTATTTCAACTACCCTTGTTATAACACTTTTTTCTTTTCCTGGATCACTATTCACTGGTGATTTTCCACTGTGTGCTAGATCTATTATGAAATTTCTTTTTCTTTACTTCGTTTCTATACCACAGAAAGTGCACTAAGGTAGTTAAGCACTTTCTGGAATGCCTCCTTGCTTGCACTGTGTTAGTGTTGCCTTTCTGAAGTGGCTGAACCATTTCTGGGTTAGCACTTTGCATTCACATTTGACATGTTCAAATGTATCTGCTGTTTTACGGCCAGCATAGAGGACTAATATTTTCCTTAATTCTTGCCTATTGAGCAAGAGAGAGGGAGAAAGAGAGTGAGGGAGAGAGAGAGAAAGAGAGGGAGGGAGATAGAGAGAGAAAGAGAGGGAGGGAGAGAGAGAGAGAAAGAGAGAGAGGGAGTGAAAGAGAGAGAGAGTGAGAGAGAGAAAGAATTTTGTTGTACTAGTCAAAAAGTTGAGAAACTTCTTTGATTGCTTGAATCCTGGTGAATTTATCCAGTGTGTGGTCATTTTTTCCTCTAGCTATTTGTTCAGTACTGCTTTGGGGTGTGCCAATATGCAGTTCAGGTACACAGGGTACAAATGCTGCTACTGCTTTTGATAGTTTGTCAGCCTGTTTGTTGCCTTCAACCATATGTACTGGCACTCACATAAAAGTTACCTGATTCATTTCTAGGTTTTCAGTTGAGGGTGGAGGAGTCAGTGCTGATTGGTATCCTGAGAATAACTGTGCATGTTTTAATGTCTTTTTAAGCATTTTTTGTGCACAGTTCTATTGCATGGATCTCCACTTGGATGGTGTTGGCCCTAGAGGTTTCGCTATGACAAAATTTGAGCCAACTCCTACCCGCTCTCTCCATGTTCCATTTTATATCCATCTGTATACCATAATGAGGCACATCTATTACTTCAGGATTTTTATTCTTCATTTTTTTTCCTTTTTAATGAGGGTTCACAACCGAGGTCTTATCAGTCCTCGGGATGTCAATGTTTTTGAAAAAAAGCCCGTTTCTAAGTATGATGGATTACCGTTTCAACGCCGTAACTGTTGCGACTTAATTTGAAGTTATTCCAAAATCTTGAGATGCGGTCTGGCAGTTAATTTGAAGTATTAAAAAAATGGTATAATGAAATAAAAACAGTTTAAAAGGAAAATTTTATCTCAACCTGGGTAGTGAAAAGGTAAATTCAGTAACATGGTTTCTTTGGCAAAAATCAGGAAAAAACTTTTGAAAAAAATTGCGATCAAGTTACTCATTATGTAAATCATACTTACATAGATTAAATATTAATAGCTCACCATTATACAAAACATGTAAGGTAGTTTAAACATGTTAATCCACATAGTGCAGAAAGGAAAATAATGCTTGAGGAAATTACAAGACTAGTCTACAATCCATTCAATTGTACATACCTTTTAAGCTTAGGCATAGAGTCAATCTATAGATGAATATTTAAGTTTATAAACTCAGTTAATAAACAATTTTAACAAGAAATGTTCTCCCCTGTAAATATGAACTGTAGTAGAACTTGAGTAGACAGTTCTGCTGGCAGTTGCTGGGGGTGACTGGCGGCCCTCAGGGATTAACAATGTAAACCCAGACAGATCTATCAAAATGAGTCTTGCATGGAGAAAAGGATAAATAAAATTAAACAGTTGTCGCAAGAGGGACTCGGTGATGCCTTGGGCAGATCCGGGCTGGTTACTGCCCTGTGATCGCACGGGCAGGACAGCATGTTAAAAAAAAAATAACAGAAAATTGAAAAAGTGGATGTGGCTGAAAGCTGATGCAAAAAACTACACTTTTGTATGCCATTCCCTGGGTGTATGTATACAATGGTGGCAATCCCTGTGCCACTTTCAATCATCCATTGCTGAAGTTAGGCAAGTATGTATTGCCTCTTGTAATGAATGTTAAGACATGTGAATCTTGGTAATTTTTTTAATTGGTTCTGTACTTTTTTCCAAGGTCCTTGGTCACCAAACTAGAGTTTGTTATGCACCAACTGTTGTTCAACAGAGCTATTAGGCTATTTAAACACATTACTATTGTGCCTGCCATTTCTACATATATAACAATAAAATACTAACATTTGACTAAATATCTTTCTTCTATAAGACATAAACCACATCATAACAAATTACAATTATTTTTAAAGTTAGTAATACACATGATCTACATTAATTTTACACATGTAAAGAAGGCCAAAACCAATAATAGAAAATTATGTTTTATTGTTCAATATTTAAATCACAAATTTAATTAAATAAGTCTAAAACAATCAAAATAAAATGATTACATTTATTTTTTTAATGCTTGGATATCATCTCTTTTGTGAGTTCCATCACAAAATGGCCTGTGCGATGTCTGCTTACAATTGCACAACCAGTAGTCTTTTTCTTCATCCACTTGGAATTTGATTGGTCTTTGTTTTATCTTAAGATATGGGTTTTTATGACTTCCATCGCACAACGGCTGAAACATAAAAGTAGTTGTCTTTTTTTTCTGTTTGAGCTTTTTAGTAAATCCATTATATTTAGTGGTCTGATTGGCCAAATTACTTCTTTCAATTAATTAATCTGTTTATGTAAGGCTCTGGTTAAAATGAAAAAGCTAGTGTCACAAGCGGGATTTGAACCCACGACCTTCAGCTCAATATGCCGCTGCTCAAACTACTTGAGCTATTGTGACTTCGATCCACACGGACACCAACTCCTCATCTCAACCTACAACCTTTCGAATTTTTAGTAAAGTAAATATTTCAAAGAAATGAACCTGGTTTTTGCTGTGGCCACAGAGGCACCACATATAAGTTTTCTCTGGTGAGAGTCGCATTTTAAAAGGTTTCTTGTCATAGATCACGCCATTTTCCGTCTGCCTACTAGCCGTATAAAAATCCTCCAAAAGATTTTTGGGAAGTTCACTTTCACCTTTGCTCGAATAAGATCTCTAAAATGTTTAACATATTTTAAATGAACATGAATAAAGTTATAAACATAGATTATGAAATTTTTGGACTGAGGTAAACAAAATTTTCTAGTTTAAATAAATAACTTTTAATATACTATTAGTAAGAAAAATTAAGAAAAAATGTTTTGTATTTTCTTTTTAATATAAACTTCTGAGGAATAAAAACATTTACAACATAAAATGCAGATGATTTAACAGAAATAGAACAACAATTGCTGTTTATTTATTTTTTTTTTAATAATTATCATTTACTGTAATAAATTCATGAGTAAAATAGACCTTTACAATGGCCAGTGCCCATACAATTAAAAAATGGTGGAAAACTGAGATAGCAATCTGCCGAATCTGTATTGAAATGACAGACCTCAATATGTTCTATGTGACTGCAACGCATTAGCCCGAAAAAAGGTTCAGTCACTTTGTAAAGGCATGGAGAATCTTGGGAAGGAATACACCATCTTTAATGTAGTAATTTTTGTCTTACATTAATTATTTTTTAATAATTGTTCATATTATTACTGGTTATTGTTACTGGTCGAAGGCAGGGTGCGCTGTACCTTTGTGTATGTATTAAGTGAATTAAGCTTTCCTACTATAATACTGAATAACTTGAAATTCATTTTTAATGAACTTTCAAATAAGTTGATGGGTAGGAAATCCTATTGTGGAAAAGACAATTGATTTCCTACCCATTATCTCACTATGGAGTTCCACAAAATCAGGATGTACTCCATCAAAAAATAGCTTTCAAATCATTAAAATAATCATAAAATTTTCTATTAAAAAAAAGTCTGTAGTTTGGTTGTTTACAATTTTCCTATCTTATCAATCCTATCCCATTAAGTTTTACACTTTATGTTTAATTACATTATAACAATTACACAATTTTCATGAAAACAAACCTTTCAATGATGCGTGACATGACAAGGATAGTTTTTAGTTAGATCACTCGAAGACCTCAACCATATCATTTTGTCATTTTATCTCTATTTTATACACTTGGCAAAAAGTTTGTGAGGGTTTAAAGGTTTTAAGTTACAAGTAAAGTTACAAGTTAGTAGCCCAATTATGCCCTTACAAAAGTTTCGGTCCCGGGAGATAAATAAATGCAGATCATTTTCCAAATGTTGGCAATTATCGAACTCCCAGTGAGATGCAGCTAGGTCTGGAGAGTAAAGAGAGTGTGGTATGACTTCCGAATCAAGCTTCATTATCACCGCATTCTCAGAAGCAAACTTTTTGAACTACTTTTAAACAGTGCACTCACTTATTGTTTCATCACCAAAAGTGCAAATTTTACAAGCTAAGTTCAGGCGCCCTAGTACTGAGCTTAAATTCATACAAGCAATCGCAAATTATGGGGTTCAAAGCCGTGAGAAAGAAAATATTTTATTATTTACAGTGAAACATTCAAGACACTTTTTCTTTATTAACTGACACATTATTCTCTTCGTATTATATAACATAAATACCGATGTAAATATTACTGTTGATTAGCGCTACTAAAACAAAAAATGAAAAACCACACAAAATTTGGTGGTTACTTGATAATTATTATAATTGTCAGTGATGATGGCTACGTACAGAATTTTGTTAAAAAATAAATATTTATTAATTTATAAATATTAAATATTAAAAAAATATTTATGAATTTTAATCACAAGAACATGATCAATCAATGCTCAATACAATTATAAAATGGCTCAACATTTTATCATGTTTTTTTTTCCTTTTCCTTCTTACCAATATACTAGGATATGGGACGAAGTGGTTAGGGCGTCTGATTCATATTTTCTCTACTAATGGTTCTGGGTTCAAATCCCGGCATAGCCTTTGGCTTTTTAATTGATAATTATACGAAAGAAGTTTTGTAAAGTGATTTGAACCTTTGTCGACAACTCCCGAACCTTAAGCCCTCACATTGACAGGAATTATTTTACTTAATACTTAAAATATTTTTCCCCACCAACAATATAAAAAGTAATTAATTAAATGTCAGTTTTAAATAAATTTATAGTGGAAAAAGTTCTGAGTAGGATTTTATTAACGATGAGTCCTTATGCAGAAACAATTTTTCTATCAGACAATACCCAGCAGTATCTGTAAGTTAAAGCTTTCCACATAAAACAATTACATAGCAAAATTAATTAAAAAATTTATAAACTGTAAGTCATCAACTAAATAATAAAAATTGGATTCAGTAAAAAAAATCAAAAACTCACTTTATTAATTAATAATGTTGTTCGCGTATTAAAAATGAGGCGGTTCAACTTGGGCACGCTGTAAAACAGATGTCTACTTGTCATTTTTTTTTTATTATTATTATTTAATTAAATATTTATACTAATGTAAGAAAATGCAAAAAGCTTGGAAAGGCGACTGTTAACCGTTATCAGCACGAAACCTACAAAGTACAAATGATAATTTTTTCCAGGCTTTTTAACCGCTGCAATTCAAACTTCACTCATTCATTATCCGCGTTTGTATAAAATACAAAAATAACATCAATATTTTTGATACAATATTACGAAAACTGTATTTTTTCTGACAATATTTACAATGCTTCTAAAGATATTAAGACTATTACAAAGTGGATTGTCTTATGTTGAAAGACATCAAATAGACTCCTTCGTACTAACCTTGATATTTTAATATTTTTAGTTCCACTTATATAGCATATTGGAAGAATATTACTGAAATCTAGGGTGTATATATAACCAATATGCCATCCTGGGGTTTATTCCTGTTTTTGCTTTATAAGTTTTGAACAACTGGTACTGGAGGACTGTCTTGTTATGAACATAAACCATCACTAGGTCTAAGCCAAATGACCTGGGAGCAAAAGCTCATATGCACAAATCATTTGGCAATCTAGATTAAGGGTAATAGTGATTAAAATATTTTTTGAATGGACGTCAGACTTATGAAATTTCTTTTCTTAAGTAAGACCTTGAATTTATGTAGTATGTTCCGTTTTCTCCTTTTGAACCTTTCATCAGTGGTACTTAGTTCTTTCAAGACAGTTAAGGCCTCATCTTTTATAGTGGGTGCTTTTAGCTTTAGCTACCATCTTCTTGTAAAGGATATTAGAGATCTTCTCACTCCTTTCTGTAATATTTAGGGTGTTTTGTATCTGATTTGACAGTGTCATCAAATTTATTATTGTTATTAATTTTAATTTTATACACATCCCACATGCATTACCTTGGGTTCCACCTAGACTCATGCTTCATGTGGAATCAGCACATATGACTGAAACAACAAGGCCGAAATAGACGCTACAGTCTACTCTACAAACTTATAGGAAGACAATCCAAGCTATTGATGAAAAACAAACTTACAGTTTACAAATTAAATTTAGACATGCAGAATAAAATTGCGGGGAACTGCTAAACCTTCCAACATTCAACTCTTTGTACATATCCAATTCTTTCAATTTAAAGTCCTCACATCAATTATAAATGCTCAGTATTATGCCTCAAGTATCACCCTCTACAACACCCTTTAAATTCCAATTATCCAAAACTTAGTTACTCAAAAATTTACCAAATACCTTATTAATCTCTACCTTCACTTTAATAGTCTTGCCCAAGACTTGTCCAACAGAACCATCCCTACAATCCGGTAAGGCATCTCAAAAGGACATAGCCTCGTGACCTCCTTTGTGAGTACGCAGTGAAGTTTATTTAGTGAAGTGAAGTTAGAGAATAATATTATTTACTCCCCTCAATGCAAATATGTAAATAGCTTTAAATATATCTGTATTCATCAAATTACATACAGTAATCAAAAATTGCAGATTGTAATAAAATACAGATTACATTTTTTTAAATAAAATATATAATTTTTATTATGTAACATGTATTGTTTTTTGAAAAACTTATTGCCATTTTTTGTATTTATAATTTTTTCCCATATAAATTTTTGGTCGTTTGTGGAACTTAAACCCATCAGCATATTATTTATTTACAATTTTTCATTATTTATAGTCATATGTCTTTCAAAAGAAACTATATACAATGAAAAATATAGAATAAATAAATAATATGATACTGATGATGGGTGTAAATTTACGAAATATCAGAAAATTTTAATGTAAAAATAAAACAAAAAAATTATTGAAAAAACCACATGGAAAAGTTTTTTTTTAAACAACCTAAAATATATCTTATTTTTAATAGATTTAATTTATATTGTCATTTTTTGCAAGGTAATTTTTTTTAAATATTTCCTTTATAATGGAAAACAGATCTGCTTTGACAGAGTCGATTTGTAAATTAGACAAAAACGCGGTTGTGATGTGTAATTTTCTGTTATCCTTCAAAGTGCGTAGCGGTTGAATTTCGATCAAGGCAGCTTTGAACGGAGCGTCGCTAGGCTTGGCACGCAATTGGAAATCGATCGCCATTTTATTGAGTTGCTCAGTTTGCAAGTGCGTCGGAAGGAGCCGGTACTCCTGAGTGTGTGCGAGATCGTTGGGTACCTGCGAGCGTGATCGGTAACGAGTGTATGTCGTGTGACTGAGCAGTTGACATTTGAGGACAAGTCGGATGAGTTCCTATCTGCAAGTGGCGGAGGACGAAGGGGAGGAGCCGATCGAGCTGCCTTCCGAAGACGACGGCACCCTCCTCCTCTCCACGCTCGCTGCACAATTTCCTGGCACCTGCGGCCTCAAGTACAGGAATCCGGAGTCGAAGGGGATCCGCGGCGTCCGGCTCAGCGACGGCAGGCTGCATCCACCAGACGAAGGATGGGGCCAGAACATCTATTATTGCGTTTTCCCTAAAGGTGGTTATACTCATTATTTGGAATCTCTCATACAAACGCGCTTTTTTTTTTAATTATAAATAAATCCATTTTCACACATTTTCCCCGATCAGCTGAACTTATTTTTCCAATTCGACAATTTTTATTATTTTATTGTACTTGGATCTATTAACACTTACGTTCGCCATCTTGTGTAAATAAAATCGTTGAACGCGAAATCGGATATTCTCCACCTATTCAAAATTATTTGCATTATTGTCAATTAATATAATTTTCTCCCGATCGAAATCGAATCGTTAAAATCTCGATTAAAACTTAGTTGAAAGAAAGCCGGGCTTCATCACCCTATTCTTAAAATCAACTGAAGCATACAAAGTTGGATGCCATCCCAAACTCCAACCCTACATTCATTTTTTTTTAAATTTTTTATTATGTGAATATTATCGTTACGCAGAATTGGAATGAATCACTTTTAAGCTTAATTGCTTAAAGTTAATTGTTAATTAATTCTACCTCTCACCTGGGGCGACTAATAATTGAGTTTGAAATAATTTTGCTCGTCAGGGTTGGCATAGAATAGTGGTAGAACATTGCGTTAGGACTCTTTCAAGACCAAAACTCATCATCGGTTTTCATATTCACAATTCACAAAAAAAAAAATTGGTGTATCTGAGTGCAACAAGCTTTTTCTGTTTTTTACCTCTTCTCCTGCCTTCATCTGCTGCAGATTCGCCTGTCTTCCGACGAAGCTCTTCTTTGAGTTTGTTTCATCCACTAAATCTACTCTTCAGCCCTCAGTTTTTCTCATTTTTTTCTTTTTCTCTCAGTTCTAATAGAAAGAGAGTTTCTTCCAACAAAGCTTCTCTTGACTCTCCTAGAGACTGTTCCTTGAAACAAAGCTCCTATTCAGTCCTTAGAATTTCTTCCAACAATACTTCTGAGCCTTATGGAGAGAGCATTTCTTCCAATAAAGCTCCTCAACACAGACTCATAGCTCTCTTTCTGTGAGAACTGAGAGAAAAAACTGAGGGCTGAAGAGTTGATTTGTTGGATGAAACATACTCTTCAAGAGACTCAAGAGGAACATCCAACATAGCTCCTTGAGTCTCTTGGAGATCGTTTCGTCCAACAAAGCTTCTGTTGACTCTCTTCTTTCAGCAAAGCTCCTAATCAGTCCTAGGAATTTTTTCCAACTACCCTCCTCTTGAGTCCCTTGGGGAGGAAGTTTCTCTGAACAAAGCTCCTCTCTATTCTTCTTGTGTCTTATGGAGAGAGCATTTCTTCCACCAAAGCTCCTCTCCACTCTTCTTGAGTCTCTTGGAGAGAATATTTCTTCCAACAAAGCTCTTCTCTGCTCTACTCAAGTCTCTTAGAGAGAGTATTTCATCCACATGGGTCCTCAACACACACTTCTTGAGTCTCATAGAAAGAGAGAATTTCTTCCGACATAGCTCCTTGAGTCTCTTGGGGGGCATTTCTTCCATCAAAGCTCCTATTCAATCCTAATAATTTCTTCCAACAACACTTCTCTTGAGTCTCTCGGAGAGAAAGTTTCTCCGAACAAAGCTCCTCACCACACATCTTGAATCTTATATAAAAGGAGAGTTATCTTCCAACAAAACTTATTTTTGCTCCTCATGGGTCTCATCAGTCTGAGTTTGCAAGCCCTCCTTTTATATTTGTCGTATTTACAAAGGTCAATTTCCGGTTCCAATATTCTTTGACGATAGCATTATCGTGTGTGTCCTACTCTATTGTGCATTATCTCACCCTGCAGTAGAATTATGAGAAAAAAATGTATTCCATTAACTACTTATTTAATAGCATTCTGCTGTAGTATTAAATAACAGGAATTTTGTGTTGATTTTTTATTTATTTTTTTGTTTTATTTATTTATTTTTTTATCGAAAGATTTATTTTTCTTCAATAAAACTAACAGACATCATATCAGGTATTAATGAAATCCAATTTCCTGTCAGTTAATTATTCTAATCATTTTCATGATGCTTGTTAAAATTTAATTAATTATAATTATATTTGACTTATGTTTAATGTCCGAATTTTGGCACATCCATGATACGAGTGTTTTTGTGTTGTGCTGTTGAAGTTGTGCTAGTTAAATGCTTTTCCTTTAAAATACGACTGAATTGTCATTTGAAAATATTATTCCAAACATATCCTGCTTTTATGTCAATTTATGCGATTGGATAAATATCATTTGAGAACAAGTTTATTTTCTTTTAGAAAATAAAAGGAAGTCCGACGACCATCTGGAAAATTCAACTGCTAAAACAAAGCGAATGGAATTAAAAACCAAATGCTCCGACCTCATCATTTTGGGTCTCCCTTGGAAGACAACCGAGCAACAGCTTCGTGAATATTTCGAGTCTTTTGGCGAAGTTCTAATGGCTCAAGTATGTTAATGAATCACAAGTATTTTAATTTTTAAGTTTCTTTTTAATGTTATTATTTATAATGTTGTTTTGTAGGTTAAAAAAGATCCAAAGACAGGACAGTCAAAAGGTTTTGGATTCATCAGATTTGCAAATCACGAATCTCAGATTCGTGTGATGACTCAGAGACATCTCATTGACGGGAGATGGTGCGATGTGAAAGTGCCAAACTCAAAGGTAATATTGCTCTTATAAAATCCTAGGATTTAGTTTCTTTACGAATAATGATATGCATTGGCAATTTGATTAAAAACGCAAACAAGTTAGTCGTTCTTTTGTAAATTATGCTGCATTATCTCTCTCTTCGAACAAAGTTCATAAAGTAAATTATACCCCAAAAGTTTTTTATTATTGTGATTAATAAAATAAAATGAATTTGCCTGTTAAAAAAAAAAAAAGTGAAAACACAATAAACAAAAGTGTGTGATGTATGTAAAAAGAAACAAGAATTTTGTGTGGACATTTATTTGCGAATGCAAAGTAGGTGTATAAGTTTATCCCTGTGAGACAGTGAGAGCTTTTTTTTTACCACTTCACCTTTTACTTTACTTTGCAGTCTTGGGAAATGAATGGTTGATGTGTTAAGTTCAAGTTTCTCTCTATGAGTTTATTGTGTTTTCAAGATTTGAAAAGTAACGTATGAATGGCTTATTTAGTTCGTAGATCATTGCTTTGGGCAATTTAATTTTATTCAGTTGGCCACTTGTGCAGAGAACCTAAAATTAAAAGATAGAAGTGGAATGTTTATATACTTATTTTATTTGTGTATTTTTTACTGGTTCAGTTGAAACAAAAAATTATTTTGCCTTTTTCTTTATAAAAAGAAATGATTCACTTTTTGTCAATATATTCAAAATGCATTAAGTTTGTATTAACAAAATCACAAAATAAATACTCATAACTCAATGGAAATTTACAGTAGATAAATTAAATAAAGACAAAGGATATACACATACTCTTGTATAAATGTGTTGATTGCAATAAAAGTTAACTGAATAATTCTGCCCAAGGTAGTTTCTTTATCATTTGAATATTTTAAAAATGGAAATAGTGTGACAAAGTTTGCTCTGTGTGAAAAAATCAAAAAGACAAATTTTCACCGATTGAGTTGCAATCTTGGAATGTTGTGAGATTGAATTTGGAATCTGGTTGAGAGAAAAAATGAACTGAAAACACAGAACTGACTGGGTCGTATTAAATGATGTATGTGTTTGTTTGATTGTGTTTGAGGCTAGAGCGGTGTGTATTTGTTTGTTTTCAGGAAGGCACACAACAGCAGGTGCCTTGCAAAGTGTTTGTCGGTCGTTGCACTGAAGATATATCGGCTGAAGATCTGAGGGAGTATTTCTCTAAATACGGTGAAGTCACTGACGTTTTTATACCGAAACCTTTCAGGGCATTTGCTTTTGTAACTTTTCTCGATCCTGAGATTGCACAAATGTTATGCGGGGAAGATCATATCATCAAACAGACTTCTGTACATGTATCGGAAGCATCTCCGAAAACAGATTTTCACAATCGTGGCTATGGACCCAATCAAGGAGGGATGCAGCGAGGCGGTGGACGCGGTGAGCAAAAGGGGGGTTACGCAGGAGGCTATGTTGCAGGTGGCAATGGAGCACATGTTTACCATCCTCAGCAACACAGTGGTGGTGGTAACATGCAAGGAGGCCACGGCCCTTGGGGCCAAGGAGGCAACAGAGGCAATTTAGACATGCCGAATTTACAGACACTCGGTATAACTGGCCAGGGGGGAGCAGGTGGACAAGGAGCTGGCCAAAACTTAACCAACCCTCTTGGATTGGGTTTGAATCTGGGAGCATTGCCCGTGAATCCGGCCTTAGTCGCCGCTGCTCTGAATCAAGCTGGATGGGGGGGCCTCATCGGGAATCTTCAAGGTAACCAAGGGACTCCGAATCCCGATGGTGGAGGACCCCCAGGTCAATACCCCAACTCTGGAGGGTTCGGAGGCGGAGGACCTCCTCCGCAAGCTCCGCCACAGGCTGGTGGAGGTTTCCTTAATTGGATCAATCAAGGAGGCGGTGGCGGTGGTGTTGGAGGAAGTGGAGGAGACCAAGGGAACAACGGTCCCCAACAACAAGGCTCTTGGCAACAGAGGCCGGATAAATCACAAAACTTCAAGTATGAAAAATACGATTGACTTCCCCTTATAACAACCTCTAATTAATAGGCTAGAAAACTTATTCTTACAATAGTATCTTTCGTAATTAGATCAATTTTTGAGAAATTTTATTAAATATTCTATTAGCAAGAATCGATTGACTGACGATGCCTTCAATAAACAACTAAGGAATGAAACTTGACATCTCTTAAAATGTGATGTCTTTTGTAAGACAATGTGGTTTGTGGAACATAAATTAGATCCGGGTTATTTTCCAACCAAAATAATTTCGTAATCTTCAACATTTTTAATCCATAGTTGTTGGTATTCCATTTAAATATTTTCTATTGTGGTTTTAACCAAAATCTCGAAGAGCAAAAAGAAAAATTGAAATAAATGGCCTCATCATTTCCCTTCAAGGTTTTTATTCCATTTTTTGGCAGGACTGGTTTTAAAGTGATGTAATTGTTTGAATGTTTTAATTGCGTGTTTATGGAGTTTTAGTACAAAAGGTGTTGTGAGTATTTCATTAATTTGTTTTATTTTTCCTTCTTTGTGGCTGTACAAAACAGATTGATTTTTATTAGAATGGAACATATGACGGAAAAATGGGTTCAAGTGTATCAAAGAATTAAATAAATAAAATTTAAATATTCGTTTGTTTCCTTTTTGAATGGTTTTCTTAGTTTCTTTCGAGGAAGCGACAAAAGCAAATTAACCTTCTCCTTCAGAATAATAAATTCCTTTCTCTTAGATAAATTTATACTCCTTTGTTTCCATTTCATTAGCTAATTTTTTTTAATTATTTTGTTTTTATTTATTTAAAAACAAATACTGTGACTATATAAAGCAATCAATATTACCATATTAGAAGAAATTCAAGAGAGGTATGTAGGTGGTGGTGGAATGATGAGAGATGAGGGTGTACAAGCATTCTGCCTTCACTTGATGTTTGCAAGGTGAGAGTTTGATTGTCTGAGATTGTGAGATTTTCCTTTATAATACTCTTTTCTAAAAAGTGCATAATATAAAGTTGATTTTTGATCTTATTCTTTTAAACAAACAAACAAAATGTTTATTACTTGAACCAGATTTTTTTAAAAATAAAATCGTCATTATTGGTCATTGTTAAATGGTTACCTTTATCCATAACCTTTTTGGGATTTTTGAGGTTCATTGTAATGTCTTATTTTTGGAAATTGATTTTTTTGCATCTTTAAAAAGGAATACATCCTAAATTAGAAATAATTATGAAAATTTTAAAGCCATTTAAATATACAAAAGAAAGATAAGACAGTTTCGATGAATAATTGTTCGAATTTAAAGAAGAATTTCTTCTTTAATTTTTGACAGTTAATTATTAAAATTTATTCATAATCTAAGAAAAACAGAATGATGCAAGTTGGCAAATAACATGAAAAATATATTTAAAAAAGGAAGAGAAACACATTGAGATTTTCAAGTTGAGACATAAGATTCCGAAGGCCTATTTTACATGAGGGATGGTATAAATATTTTCAACCCCCTAAACATTTATGGAACTTTTTATTTTCTGAAACCCACCACCGCCACCGCTACTGATTATTGAACCACTCAACTAGTCTTGGTAAAGCAAACCCTCAAGAATTTCTATAGAAATGTTTTCATTGTATTTTATTTTATTTTGTTATTGCATGAAAATGGTTCAATTGGGAGCAGCGTTGTTTAAAACTTTTTAATGGTATTTATTTATTTCTTTTTACATTATACACTTAAGTTGATTTTTATGTCCCTTAAATTATGTTATTTTTTTTTACATTCATTTGTTATTTTTACTATCACTCCTCTTGTAAAACAGGCCTGAATTCTCCCATAGTTTCCAAGTTATATTTATGCATGCAATTTTTTTAACACTAGGAAGCTGTCAATTACTAAGTGTCTTTCTATTTTTATTATTGTATTATGGTTTTATTCTTTAGTGTGGTCATTTATTTCATTGTGATTAAATATGTGGTTTTTCTTGGAGGGAGAAAAAACTTTTAAAATACATGAATTGAAAAAAAGTTCTTCGCTAAAAACATAATGCACATTTCAAAGCTAAATAGATTTTTTTATAATGTATTTTACATTCACATTTTTATTTTTTTTATTATTTTTTTTTTACCTTGACAAATGATTCATTGCAAATAAAATGCCTGAAAAAAAAGTAAAATACATACCACATAAAATTAAATTTCTCCTTTCATTCAAGCATGGTGGTTTTATAAGTTTTCTAAATAACAAATAAAAATCTGGTGCAAGTGTTTTCTGTATTTTATAAGTCAGTTGTTCGACCCCATATAAAATAAATAATCAATTTGAGTTTCATAAATATAACAGGTTTTTTTTGTTTTAACTTCTTGGAAAAGTGTCGTTAAGCGCTTTTTAATGTTTCCATATGATTTTTCAGGCTCAAAAACGAACATCAGAAGAATGGTTTGATGTACTAAAAGTTTTATCACCAGAAGGTGTACTTGTTTTTTACCTCATTTCGACCATAGACAAAATACCAGCTTCCATGGATTGGATAATAGATATTTTAATAAAACCTATGTTTACAATAAAGTTATTTTAATTTTTTTAACCCCCCCCCTGTCTATGTAATGTGACTTTTGGAAATTGAAATTACAGATAATTACAAAGGTTCAAGCTGCATTAAAGGTAAGAACTAAATTATAAAGATTTTTTATAACAGCCTGTGAACAGGGTTCAAACCCTTTTTACAAAGCATAACAAAAGTTGTTTTATTTTTAATTGGAAAGTCAAGAAGCATATACATAAGATTCTTACAAATCTTATTTTACTTTTTATTTGGAAAAATTAGCCAAGCACAACATAAAAAAGAAAAAAATATGAAAGAAAATGGATATTGAACTGTTTTTTGCTTTAACAAGTTTTAAATGGAGCTGCATTAGCCAAGTAGTTATGGTGATAGGCTCTTGGCTCGTAGATACACAGCCATGGATTTGATTCCCATGCCACTAGAATTTATGGGAAAAAAATTACTGAAGGTTCGCTGCCATACAGGAGCACAATTGTTATAAATGGGGACTCCTATTAATCCCTATGTGGAGCTGAGGAGTGATATCCTTCAAATTGGTGGGACATTGAGCAACCTTTTTTTAGTATGCCAGACACTTTGGCCCAAAATTATCTTGTGCCAACCATGGCCAATTCTTAGTCTTGGTTAGGATGATCGACGATCCTTCTGTGGTTTACTCTCTGGGGCACCTGCCAATTGTGCTCTAGACGTGCAAGAGTTTCTTGGTCTGGTACCAACTTTGCCATGTTCTTCATTGCTTTTTTAGAGTCAGCGGATCAGATCACGATAGTAAGGTGTGGAGTGTCCCAGCTTTCACTTCATTATCATTTTGCCTAGTTTTATCGATCTGTCTTAACTATGATCTTTTAATGCAATTCTGGCAATGGCATTTATGTTTTTAATTATTGTCACATTACGGCGTGCACTAATAGTGCACTAACTTCACACAGTAGCCAAGTCGACGGATACACCAGGCCAAGAAATGACTTACTTTTATTCAAAAATAAATGGGAAAAAATTATAAATAAAATTTATTTACTTAAGTAGCTTTAGTACTTGAAATAAGGTTTTTTTCACAATATCCCATATTGTGTGTTTGAAAATTATTTTTACTTTTTTATGAACAGCGACATGTTTGGTTTGACATCAATTTGTTTTTACAGAACTTTTTAGTTTCTGTTTAGAAAAAATTAAAAGTACAGTGATTATTATAGAATGAATTATCAACATTATAATAGATATTGTATGTATAGTTGTTTATATGTGTACAAGCAAAAGGTGCTGGAGGAATATCTAGTTCTAGTACTTATAATTTACTTGAGTGAAACATATGTCAAGAAAGAATATACATATTGAGTGAGATTGAGCATGTTTAGGTTAATATTGCATGCATTAAGGGGTTTGGTGGTGGTATGGTTAAGACTAAGATGTAACACAGACCACCAAAACATCTAAGAGGGTGGTTTGCCACGAGAAGTCGAAGGCTTGGTACATATGTGTACACATGCATATTTAGGCAGAATTGAACCTTGCTCAATAAAATGGATTACAAAACAGAAGATAAATATAAAAAAAAAATATTTATTTATTTATTACTGATACAAATGCATAAATATAATTATTTACATTGAAAAGTATTATTTTTCTTTTTATTATTATATCAAAATTCAGGTAAGGATTAAACACCGACTCTCGTCGGAGGTGAGACAAGGATCACGCCATCACCCCTTACGAAAAGCATCGGAATGTTGCGTTTTGTTGTCTTGTACACCTCCTCATAAGTCTCTTCATCAATTTCTATTGTCGTGACAGTCTCTTCGGCTTCTCCGAGGACCATATTGAGGTGCTGGTCGTAAGCCTGAAACAAATTTGTTACAACCCATTTTAATGGTAGTTTCAATAATACAATTTCAAACTGGATATACATACGTGTAATCGACCTCTCAGTTCTCTCTCATTCCTCATTTTAACATAGATTCTCTCATCGAGACTAAGCCGGACCAAGTCCAGAGGCTCTTTAACAGCCACTGCTGGAATCTAGAAAAGAAAAATTAATATTTATATATTCACTTCTCTCTTAAAATTAGAATACTCTTTTTATTTATTTCTTTTTTAACGGATTAAAATTGGGATCCCAATGTTTTACATTCCAGCAGTTTCACTTGCTGTTTTATATGAAAAAATCAGATCTTTTGTTTCCCATTAGTTGGGTGTTTAACCCTGTGACTTTAGCATGTATCAATACCCGGTGCCATTGATTTAAAAGGTTTAACAATGGTATTTAACAATTCAGCCAGAAAAGAACACTTACTGCATAATCTCTGCCCAATGGTTTTAGAGCCTTTACACAGAATGTTGCCTATGTGTTTGAGCCTTTCATCAATGGCTATACCTAGGAATTCCTTCGTTACGGAATTTAATAATTAATTCCCGAGTGAACTGCAGTATTTCCATATTGAAGGCTAATATCGTATTAAATAAACAAACCATGGCGTTTTAAAGATATTACAGAAAGTAAACAAAGAATCAGGCTGTAGGCAGTGAAGTTTGGAAAACAAAAATGTCTGCCTGGTCTTCGGAAACAAGAGTTATTTCTTAACGTTCAAAAAAACCTTTAAACAATATATTAAGATTTAAAATAATGTTTTTATATAAAAAATGACATATTAAAATGACTTGTTTTAAGAAATTTTGAGCAAACCAGTAGGTGTTCAGACTTTTTACTGAGTGTACATTAAAAAATGAGGTAGAATGACATTATAATTAATATCAAAAAATGAAAAACATTACCTGATCCTGTTCCTCCATGCCTGTCGAGTCGATTTAATATAAATTTTAGAAATAAAGTTAAAAAAGGAAATGCCGGGGCCAGATCGGCGGGTTAGAGTCTATAGTTACAGTACCTTCTCTCTTATCTAGCCTGAGTGTATCCGATATTCTGATCCCACAGTGCCAGTCACAAGAAAATAATTCAAAAATCAGCTATCCTTTTAAAATTGATGTGACACAAAAATTAGTTAGAGATTTAGTCTAATTTTCTTCTGCATAAAGGAAATGTCTAAATTCCAAGATTACTACAAAAACAAAAATATATATTTATGCTTCTAAAAAGTTGACTTAGTTTCTTTAAGACAAATTAATTTATAATTATTTATAACTTTAAAATAAACAAATTAAATATTTTTTGTTTTTGTTGAAAGGAATATAAAAATTGAAAAGAAGGTTTGAAAAACTGTAACCTTCGCTAGACCTTTAACGTATTAACATATTTAATTCTAATTTTCTTATTTTTTAAGCTATATTTTACTTGTTACTTTCTTTCGAAGAAAGAAATGTTATTACCTAATGCTAGAAGGTTCCTTGTTAACGTTCTACAGAAAGGTAGGTTTGTAGGAAAGTAGAAGCTTTGTTTTTCATTAAAAAATACAGTATAAATCATGTTTGATTATTCCAGGGAGGGCTTATTCGACGAACCTAAGATGTACGAGCTCTGTGAACCGGGTACCGCCGATAGTCACATTCGACTTGTCGAGTCTGAAACAGTCGCTTGACATAGCGGTGCCTCCTTTTCCCAGAACGTGCCCCATAGGTATACCACCAGCTACAGTCGTTGAGCTGCCGGTCATCAGGAGGGATGAGTCGCTCAAAGAGCCTACTTCGGTGGTCGGTGTCAAAGACCCGACTACAGTCGTTAGGCAAGAAGCGGCTCGCATGATTGTTATAAGGCGGAGGAAAATGAGACGGCACAAACTTAAAAAGTTGCGTAAAAAAATGCATTTCACCTGGGCTAAGGTCAGGCAGAAACGAGAGATGAAAAAAGAGAAAGAATTCCAAGCTGAGATCATGTGTAAGATCAATGAGGCCGAAAATTTCAACGCTACTGCTTATGTACAAGAGAAAATAGACAAAGCCAACGAAGTGTTGATACCAAAACTCTGGAAAGGGAAACGCTTGCCTGAGTTTGTTATCAAAGATCTTCTGGAAGAAAAGAAGAAAAAACAGGAGTTTAAATTACAAAGAATTGAAAAAAGGAAAAAACTGTCCATGAATGTGGCTGATTATAAGGTTTAATCTATTAATTTTCTATGTAGCATTTTCAATTTACATTTTGTACAATGTACAATAATAAAATAATCATTAAAAAACCAGTTTCTAGATTTTTAGCATTACACACTTGACGATTAATTTTATTATTGCAATTTATCTTTTTAAGGTTTGCAACATGATGAACCTGTATCGTCATCATTTTAGTCTTCCTACCCTAACTGTTTTGGTCTCATCACGTTAGAGCCATCTTCAGTGACGGATCTGACCCAAAAAAAGGATATGAATTAACTGTCAGAACGTGAATTACAAAAAAAGAAAAATTTGCTTAATACGTTGGCTCTAAGTTTAGTTGGTTTAATGGAAAGAAAGAAAAGTTTATATTTTCTAAAATATATACAGGTAAACAATGATAATAGCAAATTTTAAACTGTATAGCAATAGTCACAAACCATTTGCCAGAGGTTCAGGCTCAAGCTACAGTTTTTTATGAGTAACAAAAAAGTAAGAGAAACAAAAAGTTTCCTTACAATATTTGAATTTCACCATCAAACTTATTTTCTTCATCCAAATCTTCCTAAAAAAATTGAGGTGGATGGTCAAAAATCTCCGATAGTTTTAGAGCTTAGTGAGTGAAAGATGCGGCACTGCTTCATTGCTTCGGGTAATTTAATGTATTGGATCATCTCCCCTACTTTACAAGTATTGAAGAGTTGAGTTGATTTAGTGGTTTAAATGAATTGATATCAAAAAATATTCTGGCCACTGGGGAAGCCAACTGGTTGAATGGTATATTCTTGGCATGTAGACCCCACAGTCAATCATTCCCATCGTCACCCCTAGTATTTTCTTTCCCACTTCCCTTTCACCCAAAATATAAATTAACAGCATCATCATGCTGTATTTTGGTCGTTTTTAATCATTCTGATCTGCTTACCCTACCTGTTTTGGTCCCATGATGTTACTTCTTTTCTTCATCTTCATTCCTCGGTGACTAACTCAAAAAATATCATTGAATGTCAAAATACGAATTAAAAGATGGTAATTACAATATGAACAAACTCACTTAAGTCTCAAGCGAAGTTGTCGCATGTAACAAGAAAGAAGTTGACAACTGCAGTCAATGAGTTAACAAGGTGCATCCACAAGATTTTTAGGTTCAAAACCATGAGCAAATAATTGAAATAAGGTGGAAGTGACATTAAAAAATATAGCCCAGGGGACCACGTGGTTAGTGTGTTAATTAAGACTGCTAGTGGACCCCATTGTCATAGGTTCGATTCCAAACATTGCACCCAAGTTTTCTTTCATGATTCCCCTTTCCTCAAAAATATAAACTAACAGCATTGTTAACGTTCTCTGTCTCTAGGGACAGCAGTAAATGCAGGGGGGCTACCAACTGAAACAAACAAATGAAATTAAAAAACAGCTTTTAATATTTTTCTTTCGTACTACTACACCGACCTGACAATTTTGTTACAATATTTGAATCAAAAATCTTTTGTCCACTGCTTAAAATTACAAAATTTGAAAAGTTGGGAATTCGTTACAACTAAATAACACATTTGATTATGAGAGTGTATTTGCAAATAAAAATTAAATACATGGTAGAATTGTATATTTCACAATTGAAATGTTAAATTTATTGTGATTTAACTTGTGGTTACGAATTATTTTAGTACAGTGACTAGGAGGGTTTTACAACTACTGTTAACCAAAGAAAAACAAATAATGAAAACTGTAAATCAAATTTATTATACTAAGGCTCTGTGTGTTATTACATTCAGCAAGTAACAAAACAAAAGTTTCATGACTTCATTTTGTATACATTTGGGTCATTAAAATTATTTTTTTAATGACAATAACTACAACCAACCATCCAATTTAGTGGTCCTTATTCCATGCTGACAGGATCAAGTTTGACATCTGAAACAAGGTGCAAAACTTAGAGACTAATGCAACAGGTAAAAACAATTAAATAAAACCTTTGAATTTAAAATCGGGGAACTTGGTCATGTCTACACCTTCACTACCTCCATACTGTTTGGCGAGCTTTGTCATTTCCTGTTTCCATTCTTTCTCAATTTCTGGAGTGGGATCGACTAATTTTCCTCCGCTGCCGTTAAGTCATAGAAATAAAATTAGTCAACGAAAAAACGCCATTTAGTACAATTCAGTGGCTCATACCTACTCCTGCGCTGATAATCCCTGAGCTTGTCGAGGAACAGTTGCTGGATGGGGTCTGTAGCTTTGGCAAACATCACAGGCATTGCACTAATATTCCTAATAGCCTCGGTCCTTAGGACTGAATTTGTGATGTGCAATAATCTGGTCGCCGACATCTTACTACAATTAAATATTTGAATTAACAAAAATCAGTGAGGTAGGCAGACAAGGATGAAGGTAACTATCAAATTATAAATTACATTTTTAATCATGTGTGGTGTTTAAGTTAGTTAATTATTATTCAGAGTCATGAGATGTGGTCTGGTGTGACGTAGGTTTTAGAAAAACATTTTCTTTATCATGCCAAAGTTTCTTCCTTTATTAAAGATGGCCCTGAAGATGATTTCAATAAAGATCAAAACACTGGCCCGACAAAGAAAATGTTTTTCTAAAACCTATGTCATACCAATCCGCGTCTTCCGATCTCCAAATAATCATTTTTAATTATGTTGAGATTGACCTAACCATCAATAATTGAGTTAAGTGGATTGGAAGAGGTCAATTCAATTAAGTTTTGTTCAAAATAAAAAAAAACTTTAGGAAGACCTAACAGAAAAATATTTTGAAGGGTCGTTAAAAAAATAAAACAATAATTAAAAAATTAACTTGTAGACAACACAAGCGGAAAAAAAAATCTGGGATTTGAAAGACCGACAATGGTGATGTGAGTATTAATTATTCCCCTCAGAGAAGATCCTGTTGAGTGAACGGTGCCTAAAGGTATTTACATTTGACACTTTTGTCCAGAAATATATGCCAAGTGTCAGACAAAAAATCGTTTTTACTGTTTACATACTGATAGAAATTTACATCATAGATATGTATGCAACCAGTTCTCAAAATGTAAAACTTAGAATAAATATATGACCCGTTTACATACAAGATAGATTTTCATGTACTTGCATATCTTTTTCATTCTCCATACGATTGATTTTATATCGACACGATGAAGGCACCAAAACGAAATATTGTTGTCTGTGTAATTATTCTAAAGATGAAAAGGAAGAAAAAATGTTTTAGGTTCAAGAGTGGGTGTTGAGATGTGAAAAGTCGGTGCCTATAATTAATGTCTGAGTTCACTATTAAGGATCCAGTTCATTTTACAAATATTTGAAGAATGAAACCTGCTGATTTTGAAAAGCTTCCTTATAAAATTTGTCCCCTTATACCAAAACAAGATACCAAATTCAGCAAAGCTATTAGTGTAACAGAACGACTTGCTGTAACTGTGTTTTTTAGCATCTGGTAAGCACTTAAATAAAAATAGTAATTTTAAATTTATTTACTTTTGTTTTTTTAGATTTAAACCACTCTTGTCACTCGTGTTTATGCAACACTTATTGCAATGGCAGAAAAGAAGACAAAAGGCCAATTTTTGCAACAATTTTGAACAAGATTGAACTTGCAACTAACGGTATTTACATCTATTGGTATAAGAGTGTGCACACAAATAGCTAATGATTGAAATATATATCTCTGACCAAATTCTTCACTGTTTACGTTAGCCGTCTGACATAAATATCATGCAATAACTGTCAGATGTAAATATTTTTAGGGAACTACAAGAGTTTTTAAAACAACTTTCTTTGAGTGTCAATGTGTTGCACACAATAGAAGCCTGTCACGCCTTGACTCCATAAGACTGCCAAATATGAGAGTGGTTCTCGGTCATAGTAGTAAACTTATGATTTTTAGAGGAAGTTTTTTTGGTGTATATAATTTGTTCTTGTTTAGTGTGTTTTGTGGTTGTTTTATTTGATTGCATGTATTTAATGGTGAGGGGCTGGTGGTGAAATATAGTCACCATCGCTCCTCCAGTAGTGTGTGAGTTTACTGATGGAGGAATATGTATGAAAGTACTTCATTAATTCTAACTTAGATTGTTAGCTTATTACTAATGTGTGTAGTTCGTAGTAGTTGAAGCACTATTGGAATATCGAATAATCCACCGTCAAACAGAATTAGTGCAATACATAGGTGTAAATATATTTATTTGTGCGACTGAATTTTGTGTATTAGTTTAGGCTAGATAATATTTTACACGCTTTCAGGGCTGAAATGACCAAGCAGACAAAAGCCCCTGGAGCCAAACTCAGCTGGTCGGGTACCGAAGTATTTGGTTCAAGGGGAGTCCTAGTGAGCTGCGTAACAGGGGTAGGTGAACACCCCCCCCCCATGAGGTATAGACTCTAGGGTCAACACCTCAGATAGTGGTTAAAATAAAAAAACTCTGATTGCAGAACTTAATTCCTCTAATTGTTCAAACCTAGTTGGTTTTGCAAGGAGTGCACTCGAGTACTGCCGAGTTTGTGGGGGAGTTTTTTAAAATGTTTTACTGAAGGACATAGTTTTTAATTCTTTTTTTAGTGACTTTTCCCCCTGTCTACCATCTCCAGCAGAATTTGTAATCAACTGTTTTTTTTTATACCATTTTTCCCCCTCACTGTTTCCTTTTCCAAATATCAATAAAAATGAGTATCTCTAAGTTTCTACAAAGTAAAATTGAATCGCAAATGCCTTATTACGATAAAATTTATTTTTTAATTTCCTATAATACTATCTAATAATAATAATAATTCTTAATATAATGTGAAATTGTATGCTGATAAAAAGATAACTAATGTTTAAAATGAAATCTAGCACAGGCCCTTAACTAACATATAATGCACACTTTATAATATATATATATTTTTTTTTTTTTTCAGACAAAATACTTACTCGTTTAGGCCAATACGGCAGAAACGAAATTATAAAAAGACTGGAAGAAATAGCCAACAGAGAGAAGAAAAAAGCAAGGACGATAGGCAAAGGATAAGTCCTCAATGAGGCTAGATTCTCGAACGTTAGTGGCCTACTTTATCTGAGCGTCACTTTACGGGAGTTTTTCAAATTTACCAAACTGTTTAAAAAAGAATTTCGAAGAATTATATCATAACTAATCAATGTAAATGTATTAATATTACATTTTAATTAACATTTTTTTAACGTATTGTTCAAAGGGATTTTTCCCTTTTGCACTTAAACTGTCCACTATTGTGCCCACATTTTCTAATGGATTTCGTGGAAAATTTTAATTTATTTAATAAACTAAAGAATTCTTCTCGAGGTAATAGTATCAAGGTCTATATAGATCCCAGGTACCATGTAATACCATGTAATTGTAGGGAGTTGCGTAGGATATGTTCACCTGTCTCTGTCTCTTCTCGACATAATCAACATTGGTCATCTGACGATTGTCCCATTTTTTTAAAAGCAATACTTAAATACCAGTTATAGTGTTTAATCCCTTTCTCTTGAGTAGGATTTCCCCTTTGTCCCAATTTTTGCGACTAGTCTTTTTACTTGCCTCATTCCTCGTTTTTGCTCCCAACATTGTGTTTTTTAGTTCCCCAAGATTCAAGTTATTTTTTAATGTAGGTATAGTTTGCGCAACAATATATATTTGGGCCAATGAGTTCTTGCAAGTATATATATTTCTACATTTATCTGTACTTATCAGTATTTTAGCAGTAGGCTATTTGAATATCCTAGTTTTTTCAGGGCATTTAAGTAGCACCAGGCAAATTTTGAAATGATCATATAGGCTTGGAGAGTCTTTAGAGTCACTTGGCTATTTGTATTTAAAAAGCAAATATACCTTAAAATTGTAAGAAAAAGATTGCATAGGACTGATAGTGTATTCAATAAGCATATTTTTTGTAATAAAGTGATGATTTTCTGATAAAAAATATTGCAAGTTGGTCATTGTATTCAATCATCATAATTTTCTTAAATCAAGTTTACCATTTTTATTTTATGGAACAAAAATTCGAAATTCTAATTAAAGAACAGGAATAAATTTTATAATCTAAAATGGGATTTTCGCATACATTTGGCCTTCCAAATTAATTATTTTAAAAGGATAAATTAAAGCTTTGGATGACAATAGGATAGATTAGTTTATGAGTGAATGTCTGGAGTCAGAGCTTTATAGTACTCAGGAGGAATATACATAACCTAAGATAGGTAGGTGTGAAATGACCATGGAAGTTAAAACACCCTTAAAAATTAAAAATTACAATAAGTTTTATTATTATGATATAATTATTCACAAAAGATTTATTAGTAAAAAATATTGTAAAAGAATAACTGTCTGACATTATATTCAATAAGCATAATTTTCTTAAATAAAGATTATCAGTTTTATTATTAATATAATCATTGATCACAATGATTTAATAGTAAATAAATGTAAAATAATAACTGTCTGGCAGTGTTTTCAGTAAGTTTTTTTTTTTTTTTTTTTAACAGTGTCTATAGTCAGAATTATAGAACGATAAGGTAGGATCAACCATTTTTGAGTTATGCCCAAAGGAAGACACGTGAGGAGTATGCTTTTTGCAACAATAAGATGTCCAACCCCCTTTACTGCAAAAACATTTAACTTTAGGAAAAAATGGTCTTATACAAACCCCAAGTTAATTTTGGTTAGAAATCGCATTGTAGTAACTGATTTAACATAACTTTCTCATCTAGCTGGAAAATGGCACTAACTTTATCATTTTAAATAAAAGAAATCCCATATTTTTTATTGTAAAATTGATTCTAGAGCTTATTTTATGCCTCTTTTACTGAAAGGAAAATTTTGATATGATCGACCATTTCTGAGTTATGAAAGGGGTGGGACATCTTATTGTTGGAAAAAGCAACCCCCTCCCTCCACAGGCATAATGGTAGATCCTTTCGAAATTTTTCTTTCAGTAAAAGTGGCATAAAATAAGCTCTAGACTTGAATTGTACAATAAAAATATGAGATTTTCATTTAAAATAACAGTTAGTGACATTTCCCAGCTAGTTGAAAAAGTTATGTTAAATCCACCTCTTTGGCAACTACTTCAGCGCAAAATGTTATGGACATTGGATCTTTTCGTTGAACTTTGTTAACGGGTAATGAGCAAAAAGTTTGATCTATAATTTCTTTAACAAATCCGGGAAGCATGAAGGCTCAGCTTCAAAGTTGCAGGCCAAAAATTGTTCATAATCAGAAAATCAAAATCTATTATAAATACTGAATTATATTTTATGCGAAAAAAGAAGATTGCACATCTTTAATTAAATCAAATAGCATCCCTAGTTCTTATGCCGCATTTTTCTCTTCATTGTAAGAGCAAAGTTTAGAATTATTTTAGTTTTCAGTGTTAGAAGTATTGATCACTTTTTCACTCAACACTCTGGATCAAAGTTAGGTCTTGAACAACAAAGCAAATTCAGTTGTTACTGCCAAGCTTTCGACCTATTTTATGAAAAACAATTGCTAAATAAAATACATTAAATGTTATGTTTTTCATAATGTGAAATTTATATAAATAATTTCTAATTATTCTAAGTAATTAAAAATGTATATAGTAGGAACTATATTTGCTTTTTTCTTCAAGACCACACTTTGATCCAGAGTGATGCTGAATTATTTTAGTTTCATTTCATTTATTTTAATAACATTATTAATTAAATTATTGTTTTTTCATATTTTTAACAATGTTATCTTTTTAATTTTTATATTAGTTTATAGTTTCAACAATTTTTGAATTTTTTATTTACACTATGTTTAACGATCAATAAAACTTTTATTTCATTAATTAATTTTGTATTTTAAATAACTAATTAGCCCTGACTCCAGGAAGAAAGCACATTAGGTTGGGTCAAAAATAATCTTAGTAAGACTTACTACATGGATATTTATGGACGTTTGTTAGGTTTTATGTTGTCTGTTACTATCACAAAATAATGAATACCCTTACAGTCATTCATTGACCTCCATTTTACAGCAAACTAACTTAAATTACTAAGAGCATATGTAAGAAAAGTGTCAAAACTCAAAAAGGGGTAGTTTTTTTAGTACTGCTGGATTTTTATTTTTTTAAATTTTTGCTTAAGTCTTGGACAATATTGATGAATCATGACAGTTTTTATTGCCAACAACCGTAATTGCATGTACTTAATAATTAAGTTTTAAAAAAAAATAAACTTCCATCAGTCTCTCTTGTAATTTTTTTTAATGTGTTAAATGTGTTTTTATGTGCGGGTGTGCGATATATGGATTAATATAATAACCATTAATTTTATCTTTATTAAGAATAATATTTGAGTGGAGTTGATTTTAGTTTTGTTTCTTTTTTTTAAAGATTTTTTCTAAAAAATTTCAATTTTTTTATTATTCGCTTACTACATTCACCCCCACTATCAAAGATACATAAAACCTGTTTCTTATGTTTAAAAAGAATGACATTTTCATTCTTATAATTTGCTTGTCCTTGAATGTAAGCACGAGTAATTGAATCATGTAAAAGGAAATACAGTTCATTTTTGTTTTTACTAATGTAGTAATTATAAGAAGTGTTGATGTTGGCATAAAACTTCAAATGTAACATGATTCATGAAATTGTGAAATTATGAAAATACCCACAAACTAATTTATATTGAATTTCAAAGCTCTAACTACGTGCTCTCCTCTCCTCTATACCGAATGATGATCAAGCAAGAGTAACAACATCTGCAATAGCATTGACTTCTTCAATAGTTCTGTACAATCGAGTAAAACCGTAGGGTCTTTTTGGGAATAGGGAACCCCTCATTATCTGTTGTACAAAACTTGTTTTACTGTTTTTAAATATTTATTCTGGTGGCCAAAAATGTACAATATCATTTATTAATTGATTGAACAAATCATTACTGCAATTTCTGTGACGCCAAAGAAATTCACACAAATATGAGTATATCAAACTTCGTCTTGTACCGTGTTCTTTTTTGTTCCTAGCTTTTGCTTGTGCCATGACTCAATTTGTTGAGTATGGCTACCTGTGATGGGATCAATGAAATTTTTTGAATATTCACAGTAAAGTGTTTGAAATTTTTTCCTTGAATCTTAGTGTGTAGGATGCCCACATGTCTGATATAATGGTTGTACCAGGGTGAATACATTCTGATATTGTTTTCAGTAGTGTTTCAGATGTATGGTTTGGCACGCAATACATGAATCATTTATTATCTTCTCGACACATACCTCCGAACACCTATTGATTAGGATAAATTCTACCAACGTTATTTTTGCATCAAGAAAAACTTGATTCGTTTATCTCAATTGTTTTAGCCTGCCCTTCTATCTTTCTGAATTTTTTTTAACAAATGATTTGCGCAAACAATCTCTAAACATATTTTTCCAATCTGTAATAATATCGGTAGCTAATCCCAGTTCCTCTTGACAAAATTTAGTAGATGTATATTCCCTTGTCCAGCAGTATAGCAAAATGATAAATTTATTAAATGGAAAATTACTGTTTTCCAAAAATGTACTTTTTCTTAATACAAACGGTTGTTTGCAGGTTTTCATGTTACATCTCCATCTATCCTTTTCTACTAGATAGAGTTTCATTTAATGATCATTAGAACAAACTCTTTCACTGTGCAAAATCCTCTTACACTGAAGAAAGGAAATCGCTTTTTCCTTTGTGTCTACTTGAGCAACTAAGTCAAATAGCAAAGGTTTTCTCTTTAAAAATATAAAATAAAACTAAAATGTTGTAAAACTAAAATGTTGTAAAACTAAAACTTAAAACGAATGGATAATGAGGGGGTCCCTATTCCCAAAAAGACCCAAACCATGTCCTACAACCCTACTCTAGTTGAATTTTCTTACCAGTTTATATTTTTTAAATGCTTTTATATTTCATACAGTTAAAAGTTTATTACAATTTATTTCATATACTGGTTCACCTAAATCTTGCACTCTAGTCTAGTCTTATTATATATCTACAAAGAGCATTATTTTCATTAAATATGTACCTAAATATTGTAGTTTCAATTGTCTTTCAGCTTTATTTTGTTTCCTTTACCTTAATTTGGTTAATAATTATGTCTTTCATTTTTGTTGTTGTTCAGTTTTCACTCTGTAAATGTATTTTTATATTTATCATTTATATTTACCATTTATAATATTACCATGTATATATCTACTTATAATTTTTGTATTATTTGTATTTTTTGCATATATTATTTTGTATATTATTTAAATTTTTTGTTATTGTAAAATGTCTATATAATTCCGTAAATAAATAAATAATTCGTTATTTTAAATCCGCTTTGCAGGTGCCGGCGTGGGTTTTTATGATTCACTTCTTTTGAGTGGGGGCCGTCAAAGTCAAACTTGCCTTGAGTCTTGCTGTTGCCGTTCTCCGTTCTCTGCTGATATGAAATCTTCAATGAATGTGCCTCCTTTTAAAATGGTTTACTATTTCCGCTTTGTCTCACAAATCGTATTCTACAATGTATAGCACAATGTCAGCTCGATAATCATTCTCTACCAGGCCAAGACGAATAAAATACAACGATGCAAGTTTTATGGTTTATTATTTGTCTTATGGCTCTTGTCAAATTGAATGCTTTCAAATTTGACGAAGAGTGTTACTTGCACGTGGGTAACATGACATACGACTTTTTGAGGTAGGTCCTTTAAATCAATTTAATAATGCTACAACTAATGATATTTAATCAACCTTTACAAACCCTTGGATTTGTTGTAAAATATGTGTGTTGTAATATATTTGTATAAAAGTAATGTTTGTTGTAAATAATCAACATATCAATTTCAGTAATTATTACAGCTTACTTTTACTTTATAAGACCCTTGTGCCCTTGACTGTCATTAAGAATCCAGATGAGACAGGTTTCGGATGTCATACCTGCATCTCTCTATGCGCTAGCAGCGAAGGTGAACCCATCTGGGCAGATCAAACACAAAACTCTGTCTATCTGGGTACATAAAGTGTGTCTAGCTGGGTGCAGCTTACCTGACCTGGGATAGTTTAATTGGGTGCATGAAAAAGTTTTCAGAATAATTAATACAAAAACAAAATGATTATGTTTACTATTGCTTAATCTCATGCATAAAGGTAGGCTCGTTTTGAACGATAAAATGTATGACAATCAAATTAAATATACGTTTCTGATGTGCAAAAATCAGATTCGTTCATTTCACCATCTTCAGACATGGATCAGTAATAACCAAATTACAGGTTTATTGCCCTCATGCCACAAAGAGATCTCTCAAAATTTATGTATTTTAGCTGTCTGAGAGAAAAAAAGACATTTAATATTAAGTTTGTTAAGAGTTCCACTTTATAAACTAAAACAGTGTGGGTTCAGCCTGCATCCAGCAGTATCACTCTTAACATTGTGTAAAACCATTGCTGTAATTTAGTGCAATATTAGTCAATAATAAATATGTACAGATAAATTTAATTGTTTGATGATGTTCACAAAGTGAATGAAAGCTTTCCCAAGTAAATAAAATACTGCTGGAACTAAAAGTATGAAATTTCAATCATTTGATTCTTCGCTTAAGATTAAAATTAGAGCAGGAGTCGGCCTATTTACGACCTGTTCAATATAACCAGTATTGTTCTATTGTGCATCTCTATTGATTCCCTCATTAAGCATCAGGCTTTTTATCAGATCCCAACGGTTTTTCAAGGACTCCCGTGTGTATCCTTCAGGCCTCGGCTTTTCTTCTCCCAGGAGTAAGAATCTCAGCCTACATAAGCCTTTGCACAACAGCTCTTATTCCTAGTTATATCTGCACTGGCTTGTTTGCACCTTGATATACATATGGCTCCAGAGTCTGCAATGTCCAGTTAACAGTAGAACTATTATTCTAGTCCTAACAAATCTACACTTAGTAGTCTTGCCGTTAGTCTCTGAGATGGTCCTTTGATCAACTGTCCTGGGCTACATTCCCATTGAATAGAGGACTTAAGAGGGTTCAGAGCCAATAGATATCTTAATCCGACGTTCGTTTTGGTGGCTTTATCGGGCTCTTCATTGCTCCCCTGCCCTGGGTGCCATAGTACCCAGACAAGGGTAATTTTTGTTTCCACAATGTCTAACAGGGCAATTCCAAATGACTGGATTTTACTACCAATGTGGTAGTATAGTCCTCAGTGCTGCCTGGTTGTCTTAAACTTACTTAAAATTTAGTTACACAAATTGTAAATGTTTACACATTTTATTGAACATTGTTATTTATTTATTTTTTTAAATTAATTTAACTAAAAAGTAATTCAATGTATTATTTGAATACATATTATTTTTTTAATTAATTAATTTTTTATTTTTGAAGGCATGATGGAAATTCTTGGGTAACTGTTAACGAAACTAAGGAACTTTTAGGATCAGTTAGTATTGACTTTTTAATCTGCCGGACTAAGGAGGCTGAAGAAAAATGTGCAGAGCAGAGCAATTTGTGCTTGACTCAAAATACTGGTCAGGACATTTTAAAAATTGCACACACAGCTAATATTAATGGTATTCTATTTGATTTGATAAATATTCTCTACTCTGCATCAAATTTACTCAATATCAATTCAGATGTAAGTGTTGATGACAACGTGCTGATATTTAACTTTAAAAGTAATTTGAAAAACTGTGTACCTGATGGCAAATTAACAAACTTAACATACTTTGTTGTCACTTTGGTCATATCATGTCATGAAACGTGTCACAAGGTGTGTTGTTTTTCATTTTAAGTCAATTGAATTATTAAAAAATGTAAAAAATACTATGTTATTTTTAGCCTTTTATTGAGAATTTGAACAATGTATGCAGCTTATCTATACTTTGGCGCTGTACATTAGCCTGCCCAGTTCAGAAAACAATTTCTACAGATAGTTGTCTATTGTCATTAGGATATAACCAGTAAGTTTTTTTTTTCTTTTAAGATATTTAAAATAAAATAAAATCTTATCTTGTTGCCTCAATCCAAATCAACTAGCTATGATATCCGAGCTTTGGCAGATAGCAACTTGTTTTCAGAATGTAACGAACGATACATTAATTTAAATGTATGTAGATCAGCGAAAGTTTACTCTTGCCGTCCTTACCAAAATAGAGTTCTCAATGATAATCTTTGTGAACAAACATCATATAACAATTTCCAGTTTGTTTCCTCATCCAGCAGAGGACTCTTTCTGATTTACAATTCCAACCATGGTAAGTCAATAAACAAAGTCAATAGATGTTGTAAGTTGATGTCTTTTTCGTAGATTTGGATAACATTGATTGTCTTTTTAAAGTTACAGTGAAAAAGAAAATTTTTGTTGCTTTGAAATGTTTAAATGGCCAAATTAAACCAAAACTCAGTTTTATTGGAAATAAATTTGGCAATTTTCACTTTCAAATGGAAACTATGCTTGTCTGCCCTAAGCCAAAAACACAATGCAAAGTAATGATTTTTTAAAAATTTTATTTGATTGAACCTTATTTAACTTTTTAATTTTTTTTTTTTAAAGAAACAAATAAATAAGTTTTCTATGATTGATCTCACCCCTCTACGGAAAGGTTTTAGAAATTGGCTGATTAATAACAACAAAGAAAAGTTAATATTTAATGTTGGTTCAGGGCTAGCTTTTCAACAAGGTTTCTTATGTTCAGGTATATTCATTTAAATTTTCATATCATAGTGTTATATAACACATTAACGCTTCTATTATCATTATTTTATTAATTTACTTTAATTTTTATATATTCAGTTTTTTGTTGATTAATTTAAAATGAAAATTTTTTGTCACTGCTTACAAATTAGAATAAATGGGAATCCGAAGAAAGGTTGATCGAACTGATGGTCGCTCAAATGGTAGAGCGTCTGTGTGAAGATTGTGTTCAAATCCCGCCTGTGACAGATTTTGCATTTAAAGAGATTATGTATAAATAATAATAATTATTATTGTTTGATTGTCCTTTTGTTTTTGTTGTTAACTTTGACTTCAAACAGCATAAAATAAAATTCTATTGATAAATAGAATTTATATATTCACATATTTAAAAGATAACTCAAAACAAAATAAGAAATGTATTTACAATTTACTTGTACTTTGTAAATCAAATGAACTTGATGTACAGGTGGAAGTATAGCTGCTTGTTTACAAAAGTCAGATGGCACTCTAATCAACTATGGGGACACATTTGATAGAATTGAAGTAAAAAGTAATAGTGTTTCCATTTTTATTAGAAGTAAGTATTAGTTTTGTACCTAATAAATTTGTTAAAAATAAATAGTCGTATTTTGTATTAGATGGTGAGCAGTGTGGTTCTGAGCGTTATTCATTGAATATCACACTTATTGAGGATCTGAACAAAAGTAATCCTATAATAATAAAAAACAATAATTGCTCGAAAGACATCGAATGGCGTACACCATATGCCACTGCAGTTGAGGTTGGGTTTAAATAGGCAACTTTTATTGTCTTATTAAATTGAAGTTATAGTATTTTCAAGGGAAGAACTGCAATATTAAGACAAATATAGAATATGCCAAAGACTTAAACTTTACAAATTTATTTATACAAGATTATAGGCTTCAAACAGAAGATGGCACCAGCTTCAGGATAAACCTTTGCTCAAGGCTTAAAGAAAAGTGTGGGCAGGTATGTCAGAAGGTGCATGTAAAATGTAAAATATTCCTGTAATTTTTGCATAACTGGCATCAAAGAATATATCCTAGTATGTGTGATAATTAAGGTTGAAATAAAAAAACATGTATGATGTGTTATGTCATGTTACCAATAAACGCGATTTTTCCATGGGTTTTTGGGATGTAAAACCTGTAGTTTGTTGTTTCCAACCAGTGAAATGGGGGGGGGGGACTGGGCACTTGTATTTATTCATTTTTCGTCAACTGGATTTAATGATTAATAGTTAACTTAAAAGGTAAATACAACATTAATAACATTTACTTTTGTTGTGTGATTAATCCATGTACATCTTTATATTAAAAATAAAGAAAATCAGTACAATATCCTTTCTAGAGCCGTGTTGAGCAAGTTAATTGGGTTTTTAAATTGTTTTCTCTGATGAAACAATAAATTCGAGTGAACAATTAATTATTATTATTTTCTTAAAATCGTGGTTTTAAATCAAGAAGATATCACCCAAGCAGATTTGGCCAACGATGGACATAGCATTACATAGCCTAAGCCCTGGGTTGGCCATGCTCTGCATGATGACCTACAGCAGTTTAGCCACCGGAAGTGATCAACCATGATGTATGATAGCTAGAGATGATAGTTTTATTGCTCATATCGCTCTACAGAACTGTCATTTAAAAAGAAGAAGAAAAAATAGCTTCTCCATTTTATTATTGTCTTGTTATAGCATGAATCATAGCCTTCTTCAAGACAGTTATATTATGGGGTAGAATTGTCCATGCACATACTGAACTGATTTTAATACAAAATGGATCTTATGGATTTTGACTGCACTAAGGTACATTGAGGAAGTTCTTATGGAAGCTGTGGTCGCATTCGTTCCATTTATTATTATCTTAGATTTTATCGAGTTTTTCGACTAATTGAGGTATTGAGCTGGCTAATCCACTTAAATCATAGATGAGATTGACTGTAGTTTGAAACAACAGAATAAGAGTATCTGTTTTTCTCTTTGTTTGAGTAATAATAAATATAATAATAATAAATGTTGGTATGTTTGTTAATAATGTATAATTCTCTATTTAAAATACTAAAATATTTCCCACAAACACTCAATTTTTCTTGTTCTGTTATAAGTATTTATTATTCAAAAGTTTTCTGTAGTTTACAGATGCTAGAATTTGCTGGACAGACGAATTTAATAAGCAGCATGCAATAGGTTTGTATGACGAAGAGCTAGTTCTAAAAAAGAGGAGTAGTGAGTTTTATATCAGAGGGGAAAGTTGTTCCAAAGACTATCCCTACAGTGAGGTTTACTTCACAATGGCTTGTTCGTTTTATGAGCAGGAGTTAATTCTCATGGCAAAAGTGAGTCATCTAATAACTAACCAAATCAAATCAAAAACCAAACAAATCAAATCAAGATTGTAATTTTTTCTTTCTCTTTAAGGATGGTTGTCAATTCTATTTTTATTGGAAAACGAGAGAAGCGTGCATTTTCAAGGATGAAAAACCAGGAAAATGTACAGTGGAGGATCCAAACACCAATAATGTATACAATTTGTCAGCTCTTTCACTTACTAGTGACAATTACAAAATAATTCTTAACATAACTCACACGCTAATATTAAATATTTGTCGATCATTGGTACCACAATATAACAATCAATGCAACATGAATTCAGGAGCATGCCTTATGATTACTTCTGCCCAGTCACCACACTCAATAAGGTTTAAATTAATTATTTCTTTAAGATTATATTATTTGAAATAGATTCTTAACAGTGTATAGCATGGTCTTTGATATAAATTGTCCAGCCGCAACATTGAAGAGGACTCATATGAAGGGGTTCAAAAGTTATGAATACAATAGATTTCTCTCAAAGACCATGCTGAACTGTCCATGACCTAACGTCAAATAATACAATTAAAAAAAGAAATAGTAGAAATAATTGTATTATTAGTTATTAATACAATTGTATACTTTAAGATTTTTATTATATTAATATAAATTTTATTTTAATTTTAGCTATCAATCTATAGCAATGAGTGATGTACTTAATGTGTCAAACAGCCATGGAGTAAGGCTAACTTACCTTAAAACTATGCTTTCTGATTGTCAGCTTACTATAGATTTTGTATGCAATCACATTGAGGTAACTCTGTATATTATATATANATAACCTTTTTTTAATTTATTTATTTGTAAAATTGTTTGCACAGAGTGTAAAAGTTGTCAATATAAATGATAAGTGCAGCTATCACCTGATATGGCATACGGAACATGCATGTCCCAGGAAAAAGAGGGCGAATAATACAATAAATTGTTTTGCTACAGATTTCCACACAAATCAGCAGTTTGTATACTTTTTTAATTTGAGAGCTATAATTTTGCTTGTGTACAATTATGATATTGTGCATTCAAGAAAAATATGAAGCATGCCTCCGTGGTACAGTTTTATTCTTCATATTCAAAGAATATTGCAAATTTGAAGGTTTTATTATTACTTCATGAGATTATTTTAATGACATAAATAAACCAACACAATAGCATTCTCTTGAAATATCTTATTTGAAGCCCCTCTTCTCAAAACTTCTGGTTGCATTTTTCTTGCCTATTTTAAAATATCAACTTTCCTCAAGTAATCGGATTGTGAAAATTAAATAGGGGCCCTCATTTGAAAAACAAAAATAATCAGTGCCAGTCCTGTTTCTAATACCATAATTTTTGTATGACTGAAATTTTTCTGTTCTCTTTCCTTTCAAAATGAATATGTATTAGAAAAAAATGTATGTTTAAAAAAAAAATTATTCAATTATTATTCAGGTAATGTCTCTGACATTCACCCTGGGTATTTTAATAACTTTAGAGCAAATTAATTACATATTTGTGGGTTTTTTTAGTGATATTATATGGCATATTTGAGGAATTTTATTGCATGAAAATCTGTTCTCTAGTTAAAAGTAAGACTTTGTGATTTGATAGAGCGAAAGCACAGTAAAACATCTGTGCTTGTCTCTGATTGCCTAGCTAAATCCTCAGGCTATTTTGATGGTCAAAAACCGGTATAAACTTAGCCTGAAACTGTGTTGGAACATCCATCTGACAGTTTGAGTTAGCATTTGTACCGTGCTGAAAAGCCCAAACTCAACTGTGAATGAGCCAACCTCCGTGTTGGAACAAACCAAATAAAACTACAAAGCATGGAAAAGAAGGAAATTAAATTTGCATGATAATTATTGTTAATAATTTTTTTCAATTAATTAATATTTATGAACGGTATTGGTTGAGATAAAAAAGTCAGTGTCAAGAGTGGGAATCGAACCCACGATCCTCGGCTAAATACGCCGCTGCTCTACCACTTGAGCTATCGTGACTTCGATCCGCTCGGACACCAACTAAAGATCTCAACTTCACATCTTGAATTTTACCTCTCTTTTGCCATTTTTCAAATATTAATTAATTGAAAAAAGTTAATTGGTCAATCAGACCACGAACTGTAATGGATTTAATTGTTAATAATTGTTTATATTAGTCCTATTTTTTAAACTATTTTAATTTTTGTAGATACGATTTAACCAGTTTATCAACAAAAATGTATGAAATCAATGGCTATTACGTCTCGATTTGTCAGCCATTATTTAATAATAGTTGTGATAAAAATTCAAGTAAGAACATAAACGCAAAGTTCACACACATATAAATAAAAAAAAAATTGAATATATATTTTAGGTGTTTGTACCAAGAATTCTGTTAGCTATGGATCATTTTCAACCAAAATTAAGGTTTTGGATAATTCATTAATGTTAGTTTATAATTCTACTAGTTGTAAATCAACCGTCATATATTTTGTATGTGGCATGCTTGAGGATGCACCTAAAACTTTAAACAAAGTAAATGATTGTTTGCTTGTTATATATTGGCCGACTCCACTTGCTTGCTTGGTAAAGTATTATCTCCACAATTCAATTTCATTATTATAGTAATATTTTGTATGTATTTTTTTAATTTTTATTATTATTTTTTTTTTAACAGAGAAATGCTATTTGTGATAATGACAAAGACAAAAAGTTCCAATTACCAAATTTTTATAACATCACTGTTCCTGAAGGTTTTGTATATTTAAAAATATGCTCTCAGCTAGATCCTCACCCAAAGATAATATGTCCAGGAGGGTCTGCTGCATGCCTTGTTACTGATTCTGGTGACCAGAAAGTGAATAACTTCATATTTTAAACATTCTTTGAACATTGTCCCAATTGGTAGTATTATTATTATTTTTTAAAATAGAGCCTAGGGTATCCATTGGAAAAACCTACCAGGCGAAAAGACAGTTTAGTATTACATTACCCCAACGGCGATTTATGTGATGAGAAGAAAAGACTTCATTTCTCAACTAACATCACTCTTGTTTGCAATCAAGATAAGAAGGAGGTATATGTATATACATAATTTATACTCCCAAGTAAACAATAGATCAAATTGAAAAATTAGTCATTGAATAATAGATTTTAATCAAACTTTAATATTAATTTTAACTTATTGTTAAAAAAAAATTCTCAATTATTAATAGGTCATCATTAAAACAATAAAAAACATACTAAAATATATTAATTTTTCAATTTTTTTTATAAACTCAGGGGCAGTCCCACAGCATAACCCATAAATATTGTAAAATGATTTGATTCCTTGTCTGTAACACCTAATTGTTGGACATTACGCCTTCCTGTATGACAGGAATTATTATTATTTTAAACTTACTAATCCAAGGTTCATAAAAATAACAATAAATAAAGACTAATTGCAATTCGTATCATTCAAAAAATGCCTTAATATTTACTATTTCTTTTAGGATGGTGTCCATTTTAAAGAGCTATATAATTGCCAATATAAATTTGAATGGCAAACGACTCTTGCTTGTGAAACTGAACATAAACAAACCCTTCATGAATGCTTGCTTCCCTCTGGAAAGCAAAGAGATATGCTGAATCACTTTTTCACCAATGGCATACATAATATTGCAAGTATTTTCTTACAGAAAAAACAATCGTTGTGATTATTTACTTGTTTTAATTTTGCAGTATATTGACGATTTATATATTAGTTTATGCGATACAAAATCATTGTGCTCTGCTGATGTTTGTATAAAAAAAGCTGATCAATTTATTTGGAAGCCGTTTGGCAATCTTTTTTTTAACACTGTCTTATCTGATAATCATGACACTTCAATATTATACAAACCTTTTAAGTCAGGTAATAATTATAGTATAATTATAGTAACTTCGTTAATACTTATATATATATATATTTTTTTTTTTTTTAAATTTGTTGTTGCAATAATTTTAAAATTTTAAAAGTTCCATTAAATGACAATTTTCATGTATTCTAGAAAAATAAAATTAATCATTATTTGAACATTTAATGAAACCTTTAAAAAAAGTCTTACTTAATCTCTTTTGGGAAATTTTGTTGTCATAATTCAATGTATTTATCTACTTAAAAAATTGTAATGAACAACATGAGCTAGTTATAAAAACTTAATAATAAAATTTTCATTTAATTAATGAGTTAATGAAATAAAAAAATAGACTTGGGGGCGTCGGTGGCCACAACGGTTTAGGCGTTGACATGGCGCTCATCTTTGCAAGGTAAAGGTCCCGGGTTCGAATCCAGCGGCCCTGCATTTGAACCCAACATACTTACAGATGGGCTTTTTTTTACAAAAACACCGGCACCCCATGGGTTGATATAACAAAATATAAAAATATAAAAAAAAACCTCGTCTAAATCTAGATATTGTTGTTTCAAGTAGTTTCGCATTTTCTTTTGTTCTGTTAGCCTTTATTTGTATTAATAATCTTTATAAATATTATTTCGTCTTCTAATCTATGATTATTTTCACAGATTTGCAATGCTTTGGTAAAGTGACACTAAGTTGTGACACTTCCATAGGAAAAGGTCCAAAGATTATCTCAATGGTAAGTCTTTTGATACAGCTAAACTTTTATTTTACACATATTACGAAACATACAATATTACAGTTTCACACATTCTACTAAACAAGACTACTTACAATGGCACACATACATTTAAAACATTTTAAAAATAAAATTAAGTCAATGTAATTGAGCATTTTTTTAAAAAATTATACAGTACTGAGGTACAGTACCTATGAATAATGTTTATTGATAAAAAAAGAAAAAAAATTAAACCTAACCAGTCTTAGAAAGCATGTATTTTATGCTGTTATTTTTATTTTTTGTGAGATTTTTATCACAGTTAATATATACTTGACAATATGTCAAAAAAAGTTCTCTAAATAATTTTTTCTTTTTTTAATTTTACCACCTATTAAGTCTAAGTAGCCAAAAGTGGGTTTTGTACATTCTTAAACTTTGTTTAAAATTCAGTTCTGTATAGCTTCACTGGAAATCTAGATAGCTACACAAGTCATTTTGTTCTCCATTGCTGAAGTGTGTTCCACAATTGTAGAACTCTTTTCTTTGGTGTAATTTCAACACTGCAGGCCTTACTTCCGCCTTCATCAGTTTATTTAAATATATTACGTTATACCCAATCAATAAATAAAAATTAGGACAGTTTCGATGAGAGATTCTTGAGAGGATCCACAATTATATTAGTTGGAGGAGTTGTGATACTATTGACATCTACTGCACTGTTAACCAATTTCTCTGTGCCATTTAATTTAAGTGCTTGTGAAATGAGTGGAATGCTTTTAGTTTGGTTAGGCGGATGGGGCATTGCATATCTTAATTTTTCCCAAAACCAAGGATCTCCCCATTTAACATAAGTGTTCATTGAGAGGTAAGCCTTAAGCTCTGGTTCAAGTTGGTCTGTATTGCCTAACTCTCCGTATAATATGACAATCAATCGAGCTCTTCCTTCACTTAATGCTTTCATGTGAGCTGCCCTGAATTCCATTCGTCCCCAGACGCTCTCTATGAAATTGGGAGAAAGGACCACAATGGTTCTTCGCGAATCTTCAACAGATCTTGTTATCTGATTTGGAATGAAATCTCCAACGATCCAGTCTCTGTAGTGGAGGCACAATTTGTAGCTGGGTGAACCGTTTTCAAGCCCAGGTACTAATTCATCAACAATAAAACGTTCGTCCTGGTGTGAATAGCTGACAAAGGCATCATACACTTTATCTTTGTCCAATTCCTCTTCCTTGACAAACCAAAGACAGAAGCCTCGTGCGTAGAGCCATACTTTGATTTCTCTTTGGTATTTGTAGTACAGCACAAGTATCAGGCAGATAATAAATCCAAGAAGAGCAAGTAAAGACAACGCAATTCCAATATTAATGCCTAAAGGTGTTGGACAAAGATCGGTTTTAGTTATGTTTGAGAAATACGCACCAGAAGCACAGGTGATGTTGTCAAAACTGATAATCTAAAAATAAATAATTGTGTAAATACATTTCAGTGTATTGTTTAAATAAATAAATTTAAAAAAATAGTCTCACCTCCTTGTACTTTCTGTGAATGAACAGTAGCAAATCTTTACTTGAACAATCACACTTCCATGGATTTTTGTGTAGTGTTAGTAGACGTAGACCCTTTGCATTTTCAAGCATTTTCAAAGAGCCATTATCAATTACACTCAAGTTGTTATTTTCAAGCATAAGCACCTGAAATAAAATATTTTTAAATCTGTCCAAGTAAGTAATGGATTAACAGTAACTTCCACCTACCTCGAGGTTAGGAGAGAGAACAGAGATATTTATTTTGGTTAAATTGTTATGCCCAATTTTTAATTCAGTGACCCTTCCATAGCCTTTGCCCAATTCGTTTGGCAAAGATGTTATACGGTTGCCTGTTAAATCGAGCTCAGTGTGGTTTGTCACATCTAGGACAATTTCACTTGCTGGCATTGAAAGGGGAACAGCAGTAAGGTTCCTGAAACTGCAGTCGACTACCAGGGCGAGGTTGGAGCGCCGGAAGGAACAGCTGCACCCTTTAGGGCAATCTCTCTCTCTGAGTTTACATGTGAGCACACGAGGGTCAATAGCTCGCACTATACGGCCTGCAAATTCAGGAGGCCCACTGCATGTAAAGTTAGTTACATCAAAGTCTACGATATATTCAACCCTCGGGTCAAGCTCTCCTCTCAGAAACTTGACTAAGTAGTAAGCCTTGCAATCACATTCAAGAGGATTTCCTTTTAGTATGACTCTCACACTCTCATTTTCTTGCCTATTAGTAGGAGCCGAGACAAATTTGTGTCTGGCTAGAGTTTCAGCATTATCCAATGTTACCACTGATATGTTGTTATAACTTAAATCCATTGTGAGCCTTGTGGATAAAAATTGTAGATCTTCAATCTAAAAACAAAACAAAAAACCATAAAAAATAAACATTCGCTTAACATAATGCAATTAATAAAGATAAATAACATAATGCAAGAAAAATAAATTTTATAATAAAAGAAGTTTGAGGTAAATTGGAAACAGTCTTTTCTTATTAGTGCATTTTGTGAATATTATAATAAATGATAAATAATAAATATTTATTCAGATATCGATTAACGGTCACTAATCTCCACACATAAATAATAAAGCGGAGACAATATTTTTTAAATTTTAATTAAATAATGTTTCAATTGAAAATTAGTACATGTAAAATACACTATTAATATTGTAAACTGCTTATTAACAAAGATTAAACAATGTTCATAAAAAAGAAAGTAGGTACAATCTGTATTGTTAAATTATTCAACTAGTCAGAGTCATTTTACACACTAATATCAATTGTCTTACCGTCAGTGATGATATTTGATTGTAACTGAGGTCCAGTATTTGCAATGAGGTCATTGAAACTTGCCAATCAGCATAGAGTTCTGAGATGTAGTTGTCAGAAAGCAAAAGTGTTTCTAACTTAGTCGCACTTTGTAGAATGGAGTGGCGACCAAAGTCAGTGTCGGTATACTCGGCATACAAAACCGCTATCTTGTTGCGGGACAAATCAAGTACTTTGAGTTCAGTAGTGGCTTGAAACGCTTCCCGTGCAATGTACTCAATATCATTGTCTTGGAGGAAGAGATATTCTAGTCTTCTTAAAGAAGAAAATACATTTCTGAAAAAGAAAATATTGTATAGAACATTGAACTAATTTTTGCTAATTTTGTATTAAAAAAATATATTACTTTGATATATTCGTCAGTTGATTATGACGAAGATCGAGAGTTGTTAATTTTTCTTGGTTGCTGAAAAATACCTCTGGAATTTCAGTTATTTTATTGTAGCCCAAATTAATTTTCTGCAGATCTGTGTTGTCTTTGAGTAGGTAAGGCGGCAAGGTTGCAAGTATATTTTTTTGTAGTGTCAAATTTATTAAAAGTACAGATCCCCATAATAAATCTTCAGGGAGATTTGTTAGATTACAGTCATTCAGGTAGGCTTCTCGTAAGTGTGTAAGATTTGATAACAAAGCTGGGGGAAATGCTCGCAGAGTTCTTCTATTATTATGGATTTGTATTTTTTCCAAGTTGATTGTTCCTAGGAAAAGTCCTTGGGGAAGAGATATGAATTCATTTCCATTCAGATTGAGGTTTCTCAGTTTACTCAAATCAGCAAATAAATCTGGTGGAAGAGTTGTAAGACCGTTATTGTTTAAATCCAAATTCTCTAGATTATTCAAATCGGTAAATAGACTCCTTGATAGATTCTGTAGCCTGTTGCCCCACAGATTCAATAATCTTAGTTTTGTTAAATTTCGAAAAATCCCTGGCTCAAGGTAAGTTAAATTGTTTGATCCGAGCTCGAGCACTTCTAGCTTGGGTACTGGCCTGAAAATTCCTTTAGGCAGTCTGAGATTGTTGTTTTTCATGTCAAGCCATGTTAGGTTGGTAGTGTCTTGAAACAAGTCCTCAGGAATTTCTGTTAGTAAATTGGATGCAAAATTAAGTTGAGTTACTTCTGAAAGCCCTGCAAGATGTGCTCTGGTGAGAGAATTGCCCAAATTGCTATGACTCTGAACCTGAAGTGTTTTCACATTGGGTATGCCTGCAGTCGACATGAGATCCTTAAATGGCATGGTTGGCAATGGACATAGCCTTAACACAAAAGCTTTGACTGATCCAATTTGAAGCCCACTAAGCAGGGATAAGTCGTTGTTGTTCTGTGGCATGCATTGCACGGTCATGTATTTCATTGGTTGAACATTTATTTGGAGAGTGGCATGCCCAAGAGCCCTAGGGCACAACAACTCATAATCTCCGTTGATTCCTCTTGAGCAAGTACAATCTGCTTTGCTTGGGCATTCAAATTCGCCATCGCACACTACTATTGTCAGTAGACCAACAATCAAACATATCCGCATCTAAAAGAAAAAATTGTTTTACATATAAACTAAAAAATAAATATGTTTAAATAAATAACCACTTTAATAACTTAATCGAAAATTTACATTCTAGTGCAGAAATTCATCGGTTGGATTAATCTGATAACTATTAACAAGAGATAAAATTGCTTAATTACCACTTCCAAAGAAATGTTAATAAACCAATCTTCAGATAAACATTTTTATAGCGCTACTCGTGATTTCTTTTGTCGTATTATTTAAAATATGGGACTGTTTTATGGAGAAATATGTGTAGAGGAAGAGTTTTGCCTTGAGGAACGAGTGTCAAGGACAACTAATTCTCTTGTCATTTCCTGTAGTCTTAAAATAATCTGTTGACACCATGATTTATACAGGATCGACGTATAATCAATTAAATACAGATACATTATCGATATATTTTTAGTGCATATATGTTTGGCTGCTGTTGTGTTCACATAGGTCGTTTATGTCTTGTATTTTGCGATTTTTAAAGTAATGAATATAAATGAAGTTGCGTATTTTTACAGGACGTAAATGGGGGGAAAAATTGTGATTGCGGTTGATAAACCTTATTTTATCGTTTGACGTTTCTCCCGGATTTTCCTGTATAGAAATAGGTCTTGTAGGGAGTGAAAAGAGATCCAGTTATTATGCAACTATGTTGTCACAGACAACAAAGACAGCTCTGTTCGATACTGCCATAAGAATGTGTGAAAAACCTAAATCCATTAAAAATCCTTGACCCCGATCCTCCGTCGGACGGAATTATAATGATAATAATCCATGATCCACATAATCGGGCTGATCCAGGATGTAATCATCGTTTATTTTTGTGATTTTCTAGGGTAATTTTAATACACTATTCTCGGAGGCGTAAGACGACAAATTTAATAGAGCAAAAAATTATTGTTTGATTATAACACAAAAAAAAATTCAGGATTCATTCGGTATCCTATTTTGCTACGTTGCTAGGCTTATATCTATGAACATCCTAGAGGCCATTAAAAAAAAATTAATCAATTGTATCAATTTATTAATCCTATTGCATAGGAACCTTCATATTCTTTTATTATCCTAGGTGACAAAAAAACGGAAAAAAAAAACGGACGACTGATATATCATTTTCGGCTCCTAGGATCGGTCCATTGACAAGAACGCTCGGACAATATTGCACAATATTTTTCGACCTAGCATCACCAAAAAAACAGTTAATTTTATATCGATGATACCAAGACAATAGCAAGAATGTCTTACGAGGTAAGACGAAAAATGATATTTAACAAAGTTTGTAGATTGTGAAAAATTGGTTGTTCTAGGAAACTTTCAAACTTGTATTTTGATCGTATCTGATCTCCCGGGTCCAGGGATACCAGGAATGACCAAACTACATTTGGAATATTATTACTAAACTAATTTAGTTTAAGAACAAAATAAATGACATTGATATACCGTCCATTTTGACTCGGACTCTATTCGAGATTTATTGGGTAGAAAATGGCGAAAAATAATGTTTAAATGAGGGTGTGGATGGTAAAATATGTCTGAAGGTATGCACTTGCAGTTTGATCGTCCACGATCCCAATGGTCCGTTCATCCTCGCTGGTTTTTTCCTACATACCAGGAATGACCAAACTAAATCTGCAATTATTACTGAACGAATTTAGCTTCAGAGCAAAATAAATGACAACGAATGGTTGAATGAGAGAAGTATAGTTATAATACTTAAAAAAAGTACACTCGGCTATGGTTTACAACCGTCTGCCGGAGGACGGTCTATAAATATTAAAATAAACAAAACAAACTAAATTACTATTTAGTACAAAATTGAAATATTCTTCAAGGGATCTTATTACGAACTTTACATCGTACACAGTAAATAACTTAATATCATAAAAGGGTAAACAAATTGAAATAGGAACCTGGTTCTTTCCTCTAGCTCCAGGCTTCTTTAACAAACTTCACTAAACTGAAACAATGAAGATTATTTAAAGTGGAGATTATTATTCTCTCGTTATCGTGAGTAAGTTTCTATGTCTCACTTTAAATTAACTAACTAAATGAAGAAAAGGTTTCAATTTTAGATAAAATTAGATATTCTGCCAAAAACATGAAAAATGTCTTTTCTAGTCAGTTTGTTGCTTAAAGAGCGTAGGTTTGTAGGGTTGTAATCAAGGGGTAGCAATTCACATGTAATTTTAAAAAAACCAACGAGTAAAAGGGGAACGAAGAAAATTTTATTATACTCAGACATATTAAATGACATTGGAGTACTTGGTTCTTTAAGGAATTAACCCTGCAGTTTGATCGTCCCCGGCCAATTCAGTCCGCCTATCCTCGCTGTTTTTATTTTACAAACCAAGGAATGACCAAAGTAAATTTGGAATTATTACTAGACATATTTAATTTTAGAGCAAAATAAATGACATTGATTTTGCAAAACGATCGATTTTGACGATGTTCTAAGATTATTCTGTGGAAAATGACGAAAAATGATGTTTAAATAAGGGTGTGGATGGTGAAATGTGGGGTCTGCAAGGTAAAAACGTGCAGTTTGATCATCCTCGGTCAACTTGGTCCGCCTGTCCTCGCTGTTTTTATCTTACTAACCAAGGAATGACCAACTAAAACGAATTTAGTTTCAGAGCAAAATAAATGGCTTCATATACCGTCGAATTTTGACTCAGACATATTATATGACATTGGAGTACTTGATTCTGCAAGGTATAAACATGTAGTTTGATCGTCCTCGGTCATCCTGGTCCGCCTTTCCTCGCAGAGTTTTTGTCAAAATGCCGAATTAATTTCCAGCAATTGAAAAACAAAAAACAAACATCAAATCTAGAAAAAAGATCTGAATGAATACAGAAACAATAAATCAGGAACGGTATCATTGTTGTTTATTTGAACGTGAATCATGTTCAAAGATTATTGTGTTGCACTGATAGTTAAACAGAGATGTAAACGGTCACTTTCAAAATTAATATTGAATTTATACACACTAGGTCACTTTCTTGGGTCCGCCTATTCTCGCTGGTTCCTTATGACTCGTACCTCGAATTCATACGCGTTTCGGCTTTCCTCCCGGAACTTTCCTTCAGGATTGTGATCATTTTTTTATCTTTTCAAAATGGCCGGAGTTTAACAGAACGCGTGTAGGCCGTAAAGATTTTGTGTCGTACTTTCTCTTTCCTTAAGGTTGTGCAACGAGACAAACATTGATTTGCAATCCATTTTTGAAGAGAACCTTCAATTATTATTTCCATTTACTGCGTATTAACTGTTGCTTTTTTATATGATTTTTCGTACGTGTTTCTGTTTATTTTGGATATTAAAAAAAATAAACTGGGAATATTTCACGTTTTATCAAACATGTTAAAATTAATGGCCCATTTAACCTCAAACATATGAAAACTATATTTAAAAGTCTTGGGCAAACACTTGTTAATCACTTTCATTATCAAGCGCAAGAGGCAAGATTGAAACTTTTCACTGCGACTTCTTTTATTTTCCTTTTGTGAATAATAATACTAATAATAATAGTAATAAACGCCCTTTAGTTTCGTCATTATTATTGATAAATAGGTCAATGTGTTTCACTACTTCTACAGACTGCTATTACCATGCCTCCTTGCTAAACCGAGTTTCGTCTTTAAGCCATTTTGTTTTTCGTCGATTTACTTTTCAAGACGTCTCAACAAATTTGTGTTACGGATTCGTTCTTGTATTTCTATTTCAAAAAGAAGCTTTTAAAATGTAGAGAGCTTTTACTAGAATCTTAAGTCGAGTAACGTTCGAAAATCAACTGGCTAAATTTAAATAATATATAATTCCCATTTTTAAGACGTTTGCAAGTCTGGCTTTTATGACGGTTCGTTGCGAGAAAATCACAAAAGTGAACGACAACCTTTTTGTCACTCCATTTTAGAAAATCCCCATTTTCTAAATGATTGTTATTCCAAGTCGGTTTCAGGACGGCATCGTAAAAGAATAAACCTACTTCGCTACTCTCCCCTTTCCATTTGATGTGAATTTTGTCTGTGTATTCTGTTGAAAAGAGTTTTAACTATGAGGAGAAATGACTGACCTACGATAAAAATCACGTTTGTGATTTCACGGTCATAAAATAAAAAACAAAACCTCACTCAAGGCCGACAAAATTAAAAGTTGTTTATACGTATATCTAATATTTCTATAAACATTTGCCATAACTGCACATAGCAGTTGAAATTATTGCTGCTATTCCTTAACAACCAATGAATAACGCCCTTCATCAGATTATACGAAACAGAAAAACAAGTGTTATGTGTTGAACAAGTATATATGACCTTATCAAATGGGACGCAGATGATAATTGACTGCTATTTTTGATTCCAGGAATTCACAGTTCATTCCCACCTGAATCGGATGTTGAGAAATGTGCTTTGTCACTGAAAGAATTGAAAAATGCCTCAGGGAAAACTATCCTTTTAATAATTGTTTGCCATTATTGTGAGGATTAATTAATCCGACTTTCCTCGAGCTTAATCTCCTTTGAGTGAAAGGGCAGTGATTTTTGAAAACCTTTAAATAACTTAGGGATTGTACTTTCAAATTGTTACCACTTAAGAAAAAGGTATTTTTATAACACGAGAAGTGGAAAATTCTGAGATTTATGATAAAATAAGTTTTGATTTGTGTTTTACGGAATGCACTTTTAAACTTAACAGACAACTCTTACATCTTATTAGGGCATTAAGGTCACCCACTTGGGATCTCGAGTCCGTTCACTGTTTTATAACTTCGGGATTCCCACAACCAACCTAATTAACCTTAATTATATAGTGGATGTTTATTTTGGCTTTTAATCGGTTTAAGGTTATTCGCCGATCTGTGCGAGTGTATTCTAATAGATTTATCGGAATTGTCGATCCTTATCCAAATTCAACTCAAGGCTTGTACAATTTAGCATTCTTTTGATCTCTCATGGCTATAAACAAATTTTATAGAAAGCTCAATTGAAATTTTCATTTATGATTGGTATAATTTGAACAAAATGTCCTGAGGTTAAGAAATTTATTATTATCGAGGTTCATTAGTCGGTTGATAACTCGTTCAGATCGAAAACAGGTCTAATCCAAAATCCCCCCACACCGTTATCTTTTTTCATTCGCATTAGTAGACAATTCAAAATAATGAACAAAATAAAGTAATATGACACCTTTAAACACGTCAAGACAATGGTATTTTTTATCTTCTAGTTGTAGGATATTGACAATTTGATCAAACGTGCTATGATAGACCACTTAGAAAAGAATGGATTTAGATCAAGATTGGTAGAAGAAAGAAGTGGTAACTGTATAATCAATATTTTCTACAAACTGAGAACTAAAAATTGTAAGGTGAGACAATAAATACCTTTAACAAATACATTTTTCCAGCCGTCTTGAATTTGGTTTGGTTGAAACTTAAACGCGTTGATCCACCATTAGCCTCGAAGGAGCTTAACTCGGACTTAATTTTGAATAATGCTTAACTAAAAATATCGCCACATTCACTAGTTTTATCGAAATACTAGATGATCCGGCTAGGTCCCAGTGTCCATGTCTGAGAGACGACTGAGATGAGGCCGGGCAGTTTCTCTCTTTAGCCCCCTCTCACAGTGACGAGTCCAAAGGTGGGGGTCTTCTACGACTCCAGATCCTCGTGCTGAAAGTCTGCAGAAGTACGATGGAGGAAGACGTATCCCCTGACGTCAGGGGACTCTGAGGAAAACCTGTAATTATGACCCGAGATAACCGGATTGGGATTTACCCAAGTTATTGGCGATTCCTTGCCGGGCCATGCCAATTTGACATCGGCAGCATCATTTTACCCTATTTCACGTTAATTAATTCAATGTTATATGTTCTAGTGCTGGTTTTGTTATAGTTTTGATGTTAAAAACATTATCTCGTGACAACCAACTCTTTGACTATAGGAAGATGCTCACAGTAAAATACAGCAAGCATAACCATAATTTTGATGTTGCGCATAGTTCGCGAAGGAAACTTTAACAATTATATATTTTATGCTATAGAAATTTCGATTTGGTTGTATATATTTTCATATTTTTTGCGAACAAAATAATTGGGAGATTTCAGGATTTTGTTCATGCTTCTAATTATTTGCCTTTGAAATATGGTTCATGCAAACTAAATTATTAAAAGAGCTTTAGGTAAAATTCTAAATCGCTAAGGAAAGTGTTTGAAAATAACGCTATTACTACTATCTAAACATATGTCTAAACACATTTATGTTAAGGTACAACATTAAATGGTTTAATTACGTGTTAAATTAAATAATAAAATCAAAATTTTAACCACATGTAATGAATGTACGAACCCCTGAATTAAATAGCCAACAGGCTTAAACGTTATGTCAATAAACACCAATCAATTATTAATTTTGATGAGAAATTTTACAGCTTAAAATGTTTTAACTGTTATCTTAAATAATACTACATAATAACAAGTGGATAAATTTTTATCAATAGAAATATACCGAAGCATATGGTTTATAATGAGAAGGCATCTTACAAAGAATATTTCTGAAAATAGTGGAAGATGATCAAATCATCATCTCATAGAATTTGTATTATTTCAATTATAATTACCGTTGCATCCTCAATATCATTGTACTTTACACTGTAATGGCAAGTCTATTTTCATATGGAGTTCTTGACAGTTAAAAGAACCTAAATTATACAGTGACGAAGTCATATATTTTTATAATGCCTGCTTAATTGAACTTTTGTGCAATATTCATTAAACTCCTTTTTTCCCCGGAATGTTCTGGGTCTAACCATTTAAAAACGATATACTCGTTTTATTCTATATCTAATATTAATCAATTCTATCAAAACTCACACATCAATTAAAAAAAACAAAAAAAAACAAAATTTTAGCTTCAATCTGTACATGGTATATTTCTAGATGTAGTAATAACGCAAATCAAAATTAAACTTAGCACATTCACAGCCATAAAACATAAAAACAAGAAAAATACATATTACACTTATTTTTATAAGCTGTAGCTCGTCTCCCAGAAGCCATAAAGTACATTTGCTGATGCTCTGCTCTAACCGAATAATGTTAGATCTTTTACCCGGTACCGGTGTTTTTTGAAAAAAAGCCCGTTTGTAAGTTCAGGGTAGTTGAATTCGGACCCGGTCCTTTACAGCATCTGTACAAGCTGTGTCAACCCCTTAACCGCCCATTTTAATTTTTGTTGTATTAAAAAATACATTGGTTTTAAAATTGTGAATAGATCGTTATATTTCATAAACTTTTAAATTATTAATTAATGTTTCAACCTTCTAAAAACCTTAATTAATTGTAATTATTTAAGGAGTTGATTTAAGTGAGTTTTCCCCGTGACCGATAAAACCAAATGATTATAAAAAGATTGACGTATTAACATTGGCATTTAATTAAAATCGATTGTAACTTTAAGCATTTAAGATGTTTCTTCAACTTTTTTTCATAAACAACTAATTTTTCAATAGTCATGCTTTCGCTTTTGTTGTGTTGTGCTTCTCCTATCTTTCTAATATTTAGATTGTTATTAGTTTTATTTTTTAAATCTACAATTATTACATTATAGATTAAACGTTATTATTACATAACACATAGTATTATTATTAGATGGTTTTCATTCGCAAAGATCTACATTAACAAAATTACTAATTTTTCAAGATTATATATTATAATCTTTTTCCAACGGACTACAAGTTGATTGTATTTACACTGACTTTTCAAAAGCTTTAGATAATGTTGATCATACATTTTACTACAGAAATTAGGCATGCATAGATAATTTAGAAGGTCGAATGCTTAAAGGAAAATTAAAATCGGTATTGTGCATAGTTTTCAAGCAACCTCTGGAGTTCCTCAAGGTTCGCAATTAGGGCCTTTTCTGTTTAAAATCTATATAAACGATATCTCTGATTCTCTTCCATCCGTTATGACCTTACTTTTTGCAGATAATTTAAAAATATTCTTAAAAATTAATTCTATTGACTGCTTACAACTTCAACATGCCTTAATAAAACATAATAATTGGTGTGCAACTAATAATATTCTTTTAAATTCTAACAAATGTTCAGTTATGACTTTCCGTAAAACAAAATATCCTATCAAATTTAACTTTCTCAGACTCGCTCCTGATGAGGCGTGAAATTGTTAAAGATCTTAGCAACATTATTGACAAAAAGATAAACTTTCACACACCTAATAAAACTTTAGGACTTATTACACGTCATACTAAACATTTCCATGATTCAGGTACATTCAAAATTTTGTACACTTCCACTGTAAGACCAATATTAGATAACTGTTCACCGCTTTGGGCTTTCAATCCACCCATATCATTCGCATAGAAGCATATACCATACTTATCGTTAATGTCGGATCTGAAGTTGACAATTGTTCTGTACAGAAGGAATTTATTTGATTGTATATTATTATATTCCTTAACTGCTTAACCGAATTAATTTTCATATTCCATCTTATCGTTCCAGAAGTCAAATAACATTCTCCATCGATTGCCATAGGACTAATTATGCCAAATTCAGTTTTATACCAAGAACAACAAATTTGTTAAACTCGTTCGAAAATATTGATATATTTAATGTCAGTTTAAGCAAATTTTATTATTAGAAAATTAAATAATTTGTCATTGATATAATTAATATTGAATTTGGTTATAATTAATGATTGATAATTATGTAATGTTAATCCATATTTCAAATTGTTTCTATTCATTCTAAATTTTTTTAATAGTTATAAATATTTATAAATTTATGTAATTATTATAAATTACCTTAATACTTTTATTGTATACATTTGTAATTGGAAAACCGTGAGTATAAATAAATAACTAAATGAAACAAGTTTGAAAGAAATCAAGTTATAAATTAAAAAACCTCAGCATTTCAACGATTTATAATCAATAATTCAATTAATTATCACATCACGCGTTATGTAACCTGCTCTAAAAAAATATTGTGACAAAAAACAGTATTCGCAAATATTATCCAGTTATTACATACGCATTTCATTTGTGAAGCGTATAAAAAGAAAACTTTAATATATTTAAATTTTATCAAAAGTATAAGTGCAGACATATCTATAGTTTTAGATCAACAAAACATATAGAAAATCCTCGTAGTTGTCTTTTTAAACAGAATCATCAGTATCATATCCTGGCATATTTTTAGCCTGCGCACTTTGTTAAACGACGAAGTACTAGGAAAACTTGAAAACTTAGCGTTTTACCGTGCCTGTAACGCAATACAACGCAACTTAACAAATATATAAATCAAAGTTAATAGTTAAATAGATTTTTTTTAAATAAAAACAAGATCCCTTATTATCATATCGTGTTTGAACTATTTCAAATAAACAACGGTTCTACGTACACCGAGTCTGACAGTTTTCCGCCGCTTTCGGTTCATAGCCATAGTTTTGAAGATGAGCAAGTAGAGGAGGAGCGATATCATGGTCAGCTGCTGGGGCGCACACACAGAATTTGTTTTCCCGTCGGATTTTCCTTGCCGATACTGAAATACGAGGCAGGTCACTTTTTTCCACGACAAACGATCGAGAGACACAGAGAATAACTGATAGTACAAGAGCACCTGTACAATCACGACTCACAGCCGATAACGTTTATCTCAAGTTAATAATAATTAATAATTCTTATTATTTTAAACATTCTGTTACATATTTCAGAAATGTTCTTCATTTCCTTAATTTCCCTTTCTTTCTCTCTCTCTATTTAAAATTCTAATCGACATGATCGCCAACCTTAATTTTCAACAAATTTACAAGTTCAACGTCGAATATAGAATTTTTAGAATTTCACTTCCCTTGTCTTATCTCTTAACCGCTGTATGTCAATTTAGCAACATACATAAAACAATGTAAATAAAACAATCGTGTTTGCTTATCAAGAATTAAAATTTTGAGCACCATTATATTAATAAGTGAGTATAATTTATATCCTTAGGATACATTTTATAACAGATAATGTTGAGCAAAAACAAAATTGAAATTCGTTTTTTCTCTCTGAATTTTAAGTACCATTTGTTCTGTTATATTGATTATTCCGGCGAGCAGTTTTCGTTAGGGTGTTTATTTTGAATTATGTTATTATCTTCCTTTGCAATTTATGCCATCGTCATAACACTGACAACTGCCATTGTCATCGCATCTCCCCTGTTCACAAAACAGTCGGGGTGGGTGCTATGTGCAGCAGTATTGATATTTTTCTTGAATTGATCAATTCAAATTCAAAAAATTGAAAACAATAGGGTTGGAGAGTCCAACTTTGCAATAGGACTTAAAAAAAGTGTTTTAATCTACACAGGCTTTTACATTAATTATGTATCAATTCTATTATATGAATCTAGCTGTCAATAGATTTATGTGGAGAAGAGTCATCCGGGTAAAGTTTAATATTAACTGAGGGCACAGTCGTAATCTCTGGCACGCCGCCTAAACAAAAGTCGATAAGCAAAGGGGACACTTGAAACAGAATAATTCCTTAATAAAAAGAATTTATATCATATCCTATTAGCATAC